CTGCAACAATGTCAAATATGAGGAAACATAAGATGTGTTTTTTGAACATACACGCATGAAAACCTATTCTAGTAGACCCAAAAACAAAATCAAGAAAGGGCATAGTTCCTCTTTAAGAGATGAGCACAAGTGTGTGACTTAAAGTTTACAATTCCAGGCTTAAACGCAGACTCTCTTTAACATTATCACTTTTATTTAAATAATTTTACTGTTAGTCTATGGTTATCAGTCTAGAGTACTAAGCAAACACTCAACACTCTAGATTAAAACATTAAACTGCAATTTACATTTCAGAAAGGAGCGGCAGAGGGACTACATCTCCTTTGACTTCCTTCTTTCCTCAAACATGAAATAATGATTTTCTGCCAGTCTAATTACAGAGGCAACATCTGATCTGTGCTGCATCCGAGGGGGATTAACTGAAGCTCAGGCATTAGAGCTCATTACCAGCGCCACTGCAGAAATATTACATCTTGTAATTGGATGGAGAGATTTATATACTGATCAGATGGGGTTTCTCTAATAATATTGTGATTAGAGGCTTAGTTTGGACTGGGGGTTATCAGTCAGAGTAGGAGATTTGAACGGGATGGGAAAAGGAGGATTTTATTAACCTTTGACCCATAGTGAGGATGCTCACATCCAGTCAGTATAAGGAAAAATAGATAATCGGCCAAGTTTACCCAAATTGAATTGAACTGAATGAGTTAGCTCATGTCTTCATGATGATTTTGTTCCCTTTTATTGGTTTTGTTCCTAATTACGTCAAATATGAACAATTAACCATTCTGAAGCAATTTCTGTCATTTTGCCAACTTCCGCTTCACTAATTTCAACAGGCCCTCTATCCAGAACGCCATTCTGCAAAGACATGTCAGCGAACCAAATGTGCGTGACGTTGTCGTTTCCACAGATTTGAGTTTTTGGTTGTTTACATGGAGACTGTTTTCAAAAGTTTGCATTTTCAAAAAAAAAACGAATGAACAGCTCCTAGGTTGTAGCTTTCAAACTTGCTGGGTTGAGATTGGTCACATGACATGCAAGGTCATGTGGTGTTTGCCGACAGTGATGTCAAACCAGATGATTCAAACAGACAGGAATAATGAAATGAGTAATTTTGACCTTATGCCTTCCATCCACTGTCATTGACGTTGTATGGAAAATAGATGCTTAAAAATCATGTTTCACATTAGAAAAAAAATAGTAATAGTTGGAATGACATGAATAAATCATGACATTTCATTTATGGGTGAACAAACAGATCTTTTTTTCCATTTGACAATATATTGCTTTATAACGTCAATCATTTCTGAACTCTGATGTGTCGCTTGATCTACAAAATGATGTTAACTGACTTCTTAAAACTTTGAAAACCCAAGACGAATAAGAAAAAGCAGCCTCTCAAAGTTATTCTTTCAGCACTAAAAAGGTTAAATTGAGGTGATGGAAGCATTCAAAGTTGCGAGCTGGTACTTCACATGGCGCGAAATCAAAGTTGCTATTGATTCACGTCCCATCCGCACTGCGCGGGAAAAGCGACAGAAAAGCCGCGAAAATCAGAGAGAAAAAGCTGCCATGATTTAGTGACGGCTCTCGATAGTCCCCGTGAGAAGCGCTGAAGAGACACATCAAACCGGCTTGAACAGCAGTCTCCGAGCTGAGAGGGTGACAGCAGAGCCGCTATTGATTTCTGCCGGTGTAAAAGCACTCAGGGGAAACATTTCAACCCGCCAACGAGCTCAAACATCATAAGCGTTATGACAGATGCGTCTGACGTCACGCAAACATGCATTTTCCAGCAGCCGCCGTCTGATCTAAAAACCACGACAGAAGAATTAAATAGAGTTAAACACAGAACATTGTCTTTTTCATTTAAATATGCACTGCTTCATGAACACAATTCCAACACAATTAAAATACACTTTCCCCTTAAATAGCCTATAGCCTACTCCACTGACTATAAGGCCTTATTCCGTGCATAAATAAACATAAACATAAAAAAACACCTGACCACCATGAAAAATATATTTAACATGCCTTGATTTTATCTGACAATATGACTCAAAGTTGTTGAAATGGAACCTTATTTGATCAAAAAATGAAAGCATAAAATTATAAATTGGGGGGAAAATAATACACAAATACATTTGATTAAAAATGACTCATTTATTTTATCAAGTCGTATATTCTTTTATTCATTTTCCTATTATCAACTTTATTTATCTATTTATTAATTAATTCATTTATTTATTCATTTTTAATTTCTGCAGGTTTGGTCCATAATGAAATAGCATATCGAAATTTACACACAACAAAAACAAACAAAACAATTAAAACTGTTAACGCATTAAAAACGACAAATAGTCTATTTATTTAACGCATTTTGCAAATGTAAAGCATTTAAAACACTGACCACTAGATCTCCCCTATAAAGATAGACTATAGGCTAATCTAATTCCAGGGGAATGTGTAGCTAGGTGAAACTCAGCACAGTATGGCTCTATAGATTTATCTGTGATAGAGAAATACTGTTTTTGTGTTGAAATGGGCCTACTAAATAGAAAATAAGCGTATGAAAGAGGTTGCTGAGCTGGGTCGGGCTGCTTTAAATAAGGCCTAGCTCGCTCCAAAGTGAACTATTCCATATGAAAACCTCATTACTCACTTTCATGTCGTTCCAAACCCACATGCCTTTCCATGGGAATCGTCCCTCAGTCCAGGAGTCTCTCGAGTGATGATCCTAAAATCCTGCTTTATGAGCAGAGCCGATGGCAGCTAAAGCGTTAATCAATGAACTCTTCATTAGAGACCGAGGCAGTCAATACGTGAAGAGAGCTCAACACTTATCAAATCAAGTGATCATTGCAATTAGCTGTGCTCTTAATTTGCTTTTGAAACCACTCCCGGATTATCAAATGAAGTAAAAGAACATGAGTATGTCAAGAAGGCGGCATATATTTTGGCCAGTGTCCAGCAAACATTGGTTTCATATTCAGTCATATTTTGATCGCCGGTGGATCTGTGGCGCCCTCTAGTGTCAATCAACACACAGTGCTTACACACTGCTCTTAACTAGGACAACACGGCAAACGTTGCAATTTATGACTAAATAAAATAAATATAATTTAAAATCTATTTAAATACACTACTAGCCAAAAGTGTGGACACACTTCCACGATCTTAGCCTTTTGATCTAAACGCTTAGAAGCTTAAAATTCGTTTTGGAGTTACATTTTAGTGCTGTCAATCAGTTCAAATAAATTAAATATATTAAATCACACATTTCTTTTCTGCGATTAATCGCAATTAAAAACACTTACGTTTTAAATATATATTTTTTAATTGAATAATTTCAAGTTAATCTCCAGATTAATGTAGAAACGACAAAATACAGTATATTTTAAATACTTGTTTAATGGCATCTTTTTTATGAGTGAAGGCCACTGATACAGCTACTGATGTCCCCCTTAAAACAAGTATAATAACATTTAATTTAAGTGAACTTGAAACAATCCTCACATGAACCCATCATAAATGTCATATTTGCAGTGCCATTCCTGCCTGAAATTTTTAATTTTAACGTGTTAAATGGACAAAAATGTATTGCATGCGTTAATGTTGACAGCACTACTACATCTCTATATGGTTTTGTTCAGACTCAACAGAAAACACACTGGGAAACTGGGAAATGTGGGTAAAAGCTTCTAAAGCAGCTGTGACTTTTATTTTGTACAGGGTCATTTCACATGTATTTTACAGTCTTAATTACAAAAGTATTTACACAATTCAGACTATTATTATTCCACTGTAGATTTGAGGCACAAATGAATGAATTGTGTACATAAAGCAATCCAATGCTTCCCTCTGGTTTCCAAGAACAGCACAAACTTCAACCAAATTACCTATAACTATCTGAATCAGTCCAGTGGATATTTCATTAATACATTTTATTTTTAAATACTGTTGAAAGGTGCATCTGTGCAACCAAAACATAAATAATCTATATGAACATGGTCATGACGATCACAATAACCAGCTTCAGGAAAGCAAATCACCAGGAGAGTCTTTAGGAAAGTTGATCAGGAAACAAAGAAGAACACAAACGGTCAGTGATTTCATGCATAGAAAAAGACTTCTACATGAAAGGTAAAACAAAAACAAAAAAAAACGACTTGTCAAAACGTCCATGTGACGATAAAAAGATTTGACAGAGTAGATTCACAGTGTAAAACATCAGAAACAATTCTGAAGACATGCTTCTTTTTTTCAGAATGACAAATGGGCTGGCTATATATATATATATATATACACACACACACATGAAATCAAATGTGTAAGTGACCATGGTAATGCTGTTTGGGATTATGGTTATTTAACCAAAGGCAAATGTGTATTAAAAGTCACACGCTATTACATGAAAAGCTTGTTCACTTCAAACTAAACATGCAAGATTGTGCCAATTCATCCTGTGAAAACACATTATAAATCCCGTGGGCCAGTAAAAGACAAGCATTTGTAGACATTAGTATCTTTAAAACCATTCAAATGCAAACAGAATAAAACGCTGACAACAAAAAGCTACAAAACTGACCTATTGACCATTGTGTACGCTGAACAACCCAATCAAATGGACAGTACTGAGCGTAGAAGCGCCATTTCAACGGTTTCATGAACATGAGGATAGGACATGTTGACCAGGCTTGCCCTGCTCTCCCCCGACTGAAGGCCCGATCAGAGTCAAAAGCAGACACACACAGTGGAGGAAACTCTTCCAACAGCACACGTTCACAATGTCAGATCCATTAAATATAAAGCATGTCTGTTTTGAATGACAACAAGAGAAACAAGATCATGTGACTAAACAAACGCCTCTTCTGACACACAGAGGTGTTTGTTGCCACACCAACGCAGGAGCAGACACTAGGATCTAGGAGACTCTAGGAGCCAGGGTGTAAGCACACGAGACAGCTCAAGATTGTCCCAAATCGACTTCAAAACACTAACCAGCAGCAGAATCGTGTGGATCTTTGCTGGCCAAAGAAAGAAACTGGAAATTCACAACCCTAGCATGCTATTAAGCATGACGCTCTAGACTGAGTCCAACTGTTAGTACGCAACATGATCCTGTTAAAGTCGTACAAAGATGCTTAAGAAATGCAGCATTCCAAAAGTAAAAAGAAATTCAAACTCGTGAAATCCTCTAATTAACGAGCAGCTGTCAAAGCCACACTTGTTCCGGTACGAAGATATTTAAAGTGATTCCGTCTATGGCAGACACATGAATAAAGTTACATGTGCCTTTTACTTTACGCTTACCAAAATTTGACTGGCGGGCCAACGGCACCGTATGTTATTCCAATGGACAATTGATTGACATGTTTGATGGGTACTTGTATAGTTGCATCTAGCACACATGTGCATTGATCAGCCAGAACATCTGTGACGGCACGGCTGTCCCACAGACGCATCATGCATGTTTCTGCTGGGCTCAGAACGGGGAAGGCTCGTGCCTCTGCATGCGTCGCTCCGCAGCGGCCGCCATCCTCCTGCGCCGCAGCGTCACGGAGTCCGAGTCCTCGTCCTCCATCGAGGGCATGGCGTCGTCGTTATCAGCAGAAGGAAACACATCTCCTTCATCTGGCTTTTTGTGAAGATAACGTCTAACAAAGAGAGAACACAGTGTCTTAAAAACTCAAACTAAATCGGACCCAAGCCAAACCCTTGGGGCATTCCCATTTATCATTCAAGTTTGCATACGCTAGGCGACTGTTCACCATCTCTAAAAATGAATGACTTCTGGTCTGTTATTTGTCAATGTAGAATTTGCCAAACTGAGCATTAGTCGTGTTAATATAAAAAACTTTGGTAGCACTTTATTTTACTGTCTTGTTTCGGATGTACATACTATATAATTACTGTAGTAATTACAATAACTGGGTTATAACTAGGTACTAGTCCTGAACCTAACCTTAACCCATGTAGTTACCTTACACTACCCGGTACTTTCTAGGTAAGTACACTGCAAGTACATTGGAAGTGCACGTACTGTAAAATAAAGTGCAACCATAACTTTTTGTGCGGATATACTGTATACTAGTGTTGTACTAAGGTTACGGTACCAGCTTTTCTTAAATACCAGTGGTACCGAAGTACCGGGTTAATCCGGTTCTTGGCGCGCTGTCCGAAAGGTGCACATCGAAGAAAGGAGGAAAGAGCCACATATGGAAATATTTTGAATTAGGCTAATGTCACGTTGCCATAAGGGGCCGTTCACATAGCGCATTTTTTGCGCGTGGAAATTCGTTATTTCAAATGTAGGCGCGCTCATAATAGAAGCGACGTGGCGCAGCGAGCTCGTCTTTCCAGGCGCGCCTCTGTTCATGATTGCATAGCGAGGACACGGGAGAGCGAGCGCTTGTGGAAAAAAGGAGAAAGCGGTGCGAACTGCGCTCTCCATGATGACGAGGAAGTATCATTAAAGAATTAATTGATTTCTAGCCCTTGCATTAGCTTTACTACTAGTTATATTTATGGAGACGAGAAATAAAAAGCTGCCCTGTACAGCTACAGGGTTCTCAAGTTTTGAAGACAGGCAAGAGTGACAGTTTTGGATTAAATAAAAGTACAGTTAAGTAAAATTAAACGTTTTATTTCCTGTATAGTTTGGTAACACTACAATACGATACCATTCATTAGCATTGCTTAATGCTCGTCTAACATCAAAACATTGAGTGAACAATACATTTTGACAACATTAATTAATGTTTGTGAATGTTATTTAATACAAACACTTGATTGTTCATGTTCGTTTACTTCATTCATTGTGCATTAAATAATGTTAACAAATAAAACTTTTGATTTTAAATGAACCCCAAGGAGAATAATTGCTACAGTATATAACTATTGTTTATTGTTAGGTCATTTTATCTAATGTTATCTAACAAATAAAATCTTGCAAAGTGTTTTTAATACTACAGTTTCCATCTTTGTAACCGTGATATACACTTTAATAATATATGTAAAATTTAATCTAAATTAAGCTTTGGTACCGAGAACCGTGGATTTTCACTGGTATTGGTACCGAATGCTGAAATTTTGGTACCGTGACAACACTACAGTATACGACCACCCATTTTCCCACTAAAACATTCTACAATAATTATTTAGTCTTATTAGCCCTAGAAAGCCTGAAAGTTTGTCTTTCAAACATACTGGTGGCCATTTGTTTAGTGTGAATATCACTACATTCATTATTCATTCATTTTATCATGCTGAATAAGCAGAGTGTAACAGCTGCTTCATGATCAATCTGATAGCTTTGTGCGGCTGGCACTAGGGGGCGAAACGCAAAACTCGTATGTGAATGTCAGAGACAGCGGAAAGGCAGCTTAACAGTTTGATGCGGACCGGAGCACAGCAGGACGAGCCTCACCTGCGCGCTCTCAGGAGCAGCTCATCCTTCCTCTGCATGAGCATCCTCTGTCTTTCATCCGCAGACTTGGAGAAGCGGCTCCCGCGAACCTCGAAGTCTTGCGGCTCAGGGGCCGCGACCTCGGACCCGCTGCTGGCCCCCGCTGACTCGTCAGGACCAGTGTTCCCCTGCAGGGGTGCGCGCTCCACAGACTGGAGGAGGTACAGGGAGACAGGAACACACTCTTAACAGAGCACTTTTTCTACACAGGTCAGCATAGATCAACAGGAGACTGGAAGGAGAATGAACCAGGACAGGCTCCAACACACTGGGTTTTGTTCATGAAACCCCAACAGAATTAATTTAGTAAATTGTTCGTTCTGACGGGAATGTTCAGATTCATGAAAGTGTCTGTATTTTTACAGGTAAAATCTGTACAGTTTTGTAGTTGGTACAAACAAATATTTGGTGTTCCTTTAGGTAAACACACAATTTTACCATAATAATGTATGATAACTAAATTAATTAACCAACCAATAAGCTAAATGTGAAAATTATTCAGAATCATGAAGATTCATCAATGTCTCGAAATCATTAACATACACATTAGGCTTGCTACGATAGTCGGTGTTACTGGTGTTCAGAAGCAACACGGGTTACATCTCTTGCCCACCGCGGCACTGTCGGTTTGATTTATAAAATCATTTAGTTCAGTTAGAGAACAGACACTATTACACTGAAAATAAGGCCGCACAGATCAGCAACAGGAGTCAGGTTTCATTAATCACGAGAGTGAGGATCCGACTGACAAGCTGATGCGGAATATTTGGTGTCAAAGCGAAATGTAAAAGCGCCCATTTAAAGCTACACTGTGTAACTTTTTTAGTTTATTCTTAGCTAAAAACACTTAGTTCTTTCAAAAATATATGTGCTCATTAATGTATATTTACTTTGTTCAAGTAATAAAGTATTCTCGTGAGTGTATAATATGCCATTCAAAATACATACGGGTAAGGGGTTCTAATGTTGGTCGCCATGTTGAAAGTACATTAGCCAAAGAGGGACATACCCGTTAATTCAAGCTTCGCCTTTTGCGTTTTAACACTCGACGGCACCGTGTCGAATGTCAAGAGGGGGATTGCTTGAGACTGATATATAAAAACCTGAAAGCCTTTTTGAAAGTATAATATAGCCTACAATATAAACTTTGCCTTACGCTAATGATGTCGTACAACATACAGAATAACGATAGCACTGATAAAAGTTACTTTACTAAGATTAGCTTGCATTCGTCTGGGAACCTGATAACTGATGTTAGCAATGAAATGGTAAAAAAAAATAACGAAAACATAAAACTATTATTCATTTTACATAGATGTCATAACCTATATGTTACCTGACAAATTAAATTACTGCAAATTATAATAGTTTTCTAAAATAACCTCATCACTTGAAGGAACACTCATGGACGAGGTCGAACTGGAAGCCATGTTAATCTTGGACTACATTGGCCACTGTAGGAGTTAAAACGAAATGGCAATTGAGAGGAACAGAAACTAATATTCACTGGATGGTCATTTACCTTTTCACCGCTAGATGGGGGTAAAAATCACACAGTGTAGCTTTAAGCGAATTTGTCATTGCACTGTTTTGTTGTTGTGTTTTTCATTAAGAATAATAGGCTAATGCACTAACCATTCAAGTAATCCGCCCCGAATTGGCGCTAATTTGAAAACGAAACCAAAACGTGCACGGCCACACGAGCAGAATAGAGCGAGCATTTTCAGTTTATTCCTATGGAAAAATTCTCGCTCTGTTCCGCTCCCATTGACATGTGTGGCCGTGCACGTTTTGGTCTCGTTTTCAAATTAGCACCAATTCAGGGCACAAAAACCAAACAGTGCTGCTCCGCACCATTATGAATGCCCGTGCAAACGCATGCATTTTACTTACATTAGCGATTTAAAAGCCCCCGCCGCCGGTGATACCGGTATTACTGGTGTTGTCACACGTCGATTAACCGGTGGGAAAACATCCTCACCGTCACATCCCTAATACACACATTTAACTATCAAATCTGAGGTTCACAAATCGTTTGTGAATCTGGAGGAGGGTTTTTGCAGAGATCAATTTCTGGAGTATATTTCTTTGAATTTACTTGTTTATTTACAAAGGTCCATTGTGAGCACATGGTTCCCTTAACTGATTTTTTTTTGTCATTCAACAATTTTGAAATAGTCATTGTTTTTTTAATTCAGTTTGGTGATGCTAGTGGTGCAGAAATGACTTCCCTTTCAGCAATGTGGAGCAAGAGTTTGGGCCGGTGAGATTTTAGCGCTGATGGAGCGACCCAGTACGAAATGCAAACAACATGATTTCAGCCCGTGATATGCCTCTTCTGTTAGCGGTGCGCCCTCCTCACCTGTGTGGGGAACGGCACCTGTATCCGGCCCTCCAGGATGTTATCAGTGGTGACCTCTACAGAGCGTGTGAGCTGCAAATCCTGCAGGATCAGATGATAAGGGACTTGTGGAAACATTTCCTGGATCTGATGGGCCTGACAAATTCAAGGAAAAGCAGGTTAATAACGTGGCAACTTGTGTAAAACTGATGAGGCTGCTGGTGAGCATGTGTGACGCCAGCTGAGGGACTCACCATGGCATTGAGCTGGGAGTTGTTGGCTTGTGCGATGCCCAGGATGTTGGTGGTGTGCATGACCTCCACTGAGAAACTCGGCAGCCAGCTGGCAATGCGGGACCCTGGGGGCGAACCAGCCGAGATTTATACATTCAGATGATGATTTCACGATGATGAGTGTCAATGAATCATTCATTCAATGTGGCCTTGTTTCGAACCATTTTCGTTGGCGAAATGGATTAAAAAAAGTCTAAAATGTCATTTAAGTCACTTAATATTAACTTTCTTGTTTATTGAACTGTTGTATAAAAGAAATATCACATTTGTAATCGTACTGATATTTGGAGAAAAAAAATGGTACTCCTCATGTATTTTTTGTGTAATTAATTAACGCGTTAAAGTCTGTAATTAATTAATCTTAATTAACGCGTTAAAGTCCCGGCCCTAATAACTATATTAAATGATAAATATAAAGGGCCGGGACTCGATTAAAAAAATTAATCTAATTAATTAGAGGCTTTGTAATTAATTAATCGAAATTAATCGCATTTTAATTGCATAAATATTTGACCTGAGAACAGGGAGAAGTAATTATTTTTACATGGATTTTTAGCATACCATTGAATAATGACTGAATACATAAGCTTAAGCAACAAAATATTGTTTATTTTTGTTCAACCAAGTCCAGCAGACCAGTGCAATTTTTACCATTAAGTGTAGCAATAGCATATTGCTACACTAAGTTACACTAATAGCAATAGCAAATTATTTCTTGTTGCATAGCTTGCACACAGCATGCTCTTATCAGACTGATCTCATGAAATGGCGTATGTATTTCCATTTTTGGCGTGCTATCAACACGCATAATCGCTTTTCAGCGTGTTTATCAACGCCGTTGACTTAACGTACATTACTGTATATTAGTGATCGACCGATATATCGGCCAGCCGATATATCGGGCCGATATTTGCGGTTTTTACGTGTATCGGAATCGGCCGATACGCGGCTGCTGCGTTCGCCGATAGTTTTTTCCCGGCATTATTTATAGACAGGCGTCCACAGGCAGCTCTGTGCTGCTGGAGACGCTGCAGTTCACGTGCAGACCCTGCACTGCCCCTCCCCCACTAGCAGAGTGCAACCTGCGCTTCAAGATAACGGTAACTTTTAAACTTTCAAAGCATCTTTTAACTGTTTGACTGCTGAAATATTGTCAAACACTTTGAAAATGGAAACACGTTGCTCTATAACTGTTATGTGGTTGCAACTATATAGCTAAGCAAGTTTGTGGGTCCAAATGGAAAACGCGAATGACTCGTCTATAAAACTGCTTGCTTGCCATTGTATTTAGGGAGCTGCAAATAGCTGTAGGCTATCCGATCAGTATGCATTAGGGCTGTCAATGAATATTCTAAATACGAATATATATTCGAATAGTTTCAAAAAACTGAATTTTGAAGGTGAAAATTAATATTCGAATGTGGAAAAACACGCCCGCGGTAGCAGACTAACGTTACCACAGCACAGCTCGCTCGGAGCGCTCAGTGTCGGTTCTATGTACTGTGAAACTTCAATTAATGTATTTGTTTCAATCACTGAATGAAGCCTGCTGTATACCTTAAATTGCTTGCACAAAACTCTTGATCAGCACTCAACATTTGTTTGTTGTTGTTCATTTAACCCGGCATGCGCGGAGAGCGTGAGGGTGAGTGCGAGAGAGAGAGAGAGAGTGCGCCTGCGAGTCCGGGCGAGCCAGAGTGAGCTCTGCGGTCTTGGCCATTAGTTGATTTACTCGTTTTTTTTTGTAGTAATACGTTGTCAAATATGTTTAAACTCAAATAAGCTACTTAATACTAGTAGTTATGTCTCTTTGTATTAATTTGTCCTGTTATTGACGTAATGCGCGTCATTGACCAAATGCACGACGATATGTTCAAATATGTTTTTTTGAAGGGAATATACAAACGCCATTTGAGCAATTTTGACAGCCCTAGTATGCGTAAGGTAGCTGTTACGAACACTGGTCATAGGATTAAGTAATACCAACGTTGTTCCGTGCTTTTTGTGGAAGATTTATTCAGCGACCACCTGGCTGAGGTTTGGACGCGTGTGGTGTGTGTGTCTCCCTCGCAGTGATATTAGAGACTAGACATGCTCATTTTATTTTATGTAGAAAAATTTAAACCATGGCAGTAAATAGTTCGTTACTTTTAAAATGAAGTACAGTGTGCACTGTGCACTTTATTATGCTGGTTGCTACTGTGTGCAATAGTGTAATTATTTTATTTATGCTTAAATATTTATTTTCAGCAGTGAACTTTTTTTTGTTCTACCTCATGTTTTTAATATTTGTTAAATATTGTTTATCTACTTGTTCTTGTTCTACCTCACATGTTTTTACTATTCGTTAAATATTGATTTTTTTCGTTAAATAAATGTTACTTTTATTAAATTGAGACCTGTAACATTTTTTAACATCATGTCATTTTTATGATGTAAATTGAGGGAGCAAAATGTATCGGCTCCAAATATCGGCTCAAGAAAATCGGCAGCCCGTATCGGTCATCGGCTAAGGCTGATGGGAAAAAAATCGGTATCGGTATCGGCACTAAAAAATCCATATCGGTCGATCCCTACTGTATATATAAAAAATGTATGACCTACCCCAACCCCGTCCCTAAACCTACCCGTCACTGGGGTTAATACCATTTATGAATCTTCCCCTACCATCCTAGGGAAAAAATATCGCTCCCAAGATGTAGATCTAGATTTTGCTTCGTTTCGCTCGGACATTTAACGGCGTACACATACACGCAAAAGATGACGGTTCGTTTCGGCGTGGACATACACGCGGATAGCTCAAAATGCGTATAGATAACACGCCACTTGACTTGAAAGTGTCAAGTGGCGCTTTTGTTATAAATGAAGTCTGCTTCATTTATAACAAAATGTCCCATCCACGAGGCCAACCAAAGCGGTTTCGTCAGCTTCTTCGTTCATGTTCACTGTGGTTTGTTGTATAGACTGTAAAAGGTTTGTTGTTGTCTGAAGTCATCATGAACGCTAGTTGGTGCTCCATTATAATCGGTCCGCCGAAACTCATCCAGTGAGAAACGTTCCGCGGTGCAAAAATAAGTGTTTAACGTGTTATTTTTTGTGTAATTAATTAACGCGTTAAAGTCTGTAATTAATTAATCTTAATTAACGCGTTAAAGTCCCGGCCCTAATAACTATATTAAATGATAAATATAAAAACATTTTCCCCTTATCTTGAATTTTGGGGGCATTATAAATGCATTTTAATAGAGTAAATCACACAGTGAAAGTGCACACGCACTAGTCTAACCCACTAGACTACATCACGTAGTGTACCCTCACGGGGTGTGTTTTTGCAAAGTGTGCTCAATGTCAGATCGCATATCGTTAAAACAACAATTACAATATTATCGTAACCCATATACACTCACCGGCCACTTTATTAGGTACACCTGTCCAACTGCTCGTTAACACTTAATTTCTAAGCAGCCAATCACATGGCGGCAACTCAGTGCATTTAGGCATGTAGACATGGTCAAGACAATCTCCTGCAGTTCAAACCGAGCATCAGTATGGGGAAGAAAGGTGATTTGAGTGACTTTGAACGTGGCATGATTGTTGGTGCCAGAAGGGCTGGTCTGAGTATTTCAGAAACTGCTAATCTACTGGGATTTTCACGCACAACCATCTCTAGGGTTTACAGAGAATGGTCCGAAAAAGAAAAAACATCCAGTGAGCGGCAGTTCTGTGGGCGGAAATGCCTTGTTGATGCCAGAGGTCAGAGGAGAATGGCCAGACTGGTTCGAGCTGATAGAAGGGCAACAGTGACTGAAATAACCACTCGTTACAACCGAGGTATGCAGCAAAGCATTTGTGAAGCCACAACACGCACAACCTTGAGGCGGATGGGCTACAACAGCAGAAGACTCCACCGGGTACCACTCATCTCCACTACAAATAGGAAAAAGAGGCTACAATTTGCAAGAGCTCACCAAAATTGAACAGTTGAAGACTGGAAAAATGTTGCCTGGTCTGATGAGTCTCGATTTCTGTTGAGACATTCAGATGTTAGAGTCAGAATTTGGCGTAAACAGAATGAGAACATGGAACCATCATGCCTTGTTACCACTGTGCAGGCTGGTGGTGGTGGTGTAATGGTGTGGGGGATGTTTTCCTGGCACACTTTAGGCCCCTTAGTGCCAATTGGGCATCGTTTAAATGCCACGGCCTACCTGAGCATTGTTTCTGACCATGTCCATCCCTTTATGGCCACCATGTACCCATCCTCTGATGGCTACTTCCACCATGTCACAAAGCTCTAATCATTTCAAATTGGTTTCTTGAACATGACAATGAGTTCACTGTACTAAAATGGCCTCCACAGTCACCAGATCTCAACCCAATAGAGCATCTTTGGGATGTGGTGGAACGGGAGATTCGCATCATGGATGTGCAGCCGACAAATCTGCGGCAACTGTGTGATGCCATCATGTCAATATGGACCAAACTCCCTGAGGAATGCTTCCAGCACCTTGTTGAATCTATGCCACGAAGAATTGAGGCAGTTCTGAAGGCAAAAGGGGGTCCAACCCGTTACTAGCATGGGGTACCTAATAAAGTGGCCGGTGAGTGTATATCGCACACCCCCTAGTGCTAAATAGGCATTATGGAAGTGAATGATAGGAATATGATATAGATTTGAAAGAGTGATTTCTACAGCTTCCTCTCAGCAAATGGTCTGGATTCTGCATGATTATGTAAAGAGAGGCCTCACCATCGAAGTGGAAGAAGTGATTGTGCTGGTTGATGTGTGGTCGGGCCTCTGCTCCTGGCCCAGCGGGCATGTTCTCATCCAGCACCTCCCTCTGGCCCTCCTCTCGCTCTCTCACGCCTTCACTGATGTTCAGAGACATGCGGCACGTGGGACAGGACGTGTCCTGCTCCAGCCAAGAGCGCAGACACGAACTGGACATAAACAAGAAATGGTCAATTGACAATGTTTCAACTGTTAGAACAAGAGAGCGCTGGCAACATCTGGTTACGGCTCACTTGTGGAAGAGATGTCCACAGGGCAGCTTGCGCGCGGTAGTCATTGAATCCCAGCAGATCGCACAATCATCGTTATTAGCCAACAGCTCTTCAGGCGTTGCCACAGCAAACCTGCACACACACAGGGAGACGTTTCATGTCAGCACACAAGCTCTGCTTTCCATCAGCCAATGCAGCAGGCTGATTCATAACACACATCCAATAACACATTCAAACATTTGATGCACACGAAGACTATTTATTGTGTTCATGTTGTATTGCAAAACATTGTATTGCTGTTTGGTGGAAAGGGGAGGTTTAAGAGTGGGTTAAGGTGTCAGTGAAGAGTACAGTAAAAACAGAAAAATACAGTAAAACAGTAATATTTGTGAATATATTTTGAAATGTAATTTTATTTATTTCTGTGATCAAAGCTGAATTTTCAGCATCATTACTCCAGTCTTCAGGGTCACATGATCCTTCAGAAATCACTTTAATATGATGATATGTGAATCTTATGATGCAATCTTTTTGCTACTTAATATTTTTGCAGAAACGATTATATAATTTAAGCCCCTCAGGATTCTTTGATGAACAGAAAGTTCAAAATAACAATTCATTTGAAATATTATTTGTAAGAATGTAAAGGTCTTTATTGGCACTTTTGATGAATTTAATGTGTCCTTGCTGAATAAAAGTATTAATTTCTTTAAAAAAAAAAAAGTACAGATCCCAAACTTTTGCTTTTACTTTTTAAATAATGAAATTGATTTATTGTTGCTGTTATTTACACATAATTATATAATCAATTACAATAACAATTATTTCCAATTTATAAACTGTTATTAAGTTACAACAATAAGATTCACTTTAAATGTGTGTGTGTGTGTGTGTGGGGGGGTGCTTAGCTGACATTAAAAAAAAAATACAACAATAATGTTATTGGTCCACAAGAAGGCTTTGTCTTCTTTACTTATGCAAAATCTAATATCATTCTTTTTTTAATTTTGGAGTTTTTGTGAGATTCGCACTGTTTTCCTTCTTAACTATATTAATGTAAATAAGCAGTCATTTTACAAACTCATTAAAGGTAAAATCTCTTTTCAAGGGCACAATGCTGATAGCTCACGCAACTTCTGGTTACCAGCCCTGAGCTTTGCCATACTTTAGCATCTTTACTTCGATGTTGTGCTTATAATTCAAAGCCTGTAGAAATGCATATTTTAATAAGTCAGCTCACCTGGATTCCATATTGTCAATAACACGCAAGTAGTTTTTGTGGCGGCGAATCCTTCGCTGCACCTCGTGGAAGAGATACCGCAGTTGCATAAAGATCACAAGACTAGCCATGGACAACCAGATGTTTCCAAAGAGCTGCGAGGGAGTGAACAACAACAATACATGATCATAAAGGTACTGGGATTTATTCAAAAACTCTCAAACACAGACGCGAGAAGAGAAAGAAATCGTGTAACGCCACTGGTATTCACTTGGGGAAGTTTGTGACATCCGACAGGCCGCAAACATGTGAAATCAGGAACATAATTGTAAGCATCTTCTTACTGATCAGTGAACATTATGTTAAACAGTCTCAATAAGAGTCCAATCAGACCGTATTCATCCATCACTGTGAGCCAGTCACATGACCGCTACACAGCGCTGAGCTCACCAGCATATGGATGTGATGCATCAGGTCCAGGCAGAGGATGGCCAACTCCATGATGAAGTCAGTGTAGTAGATGTATGAGCTCTTGTTCTCCCAGGTGCCCTCGTGGTTCAGGTCCCACAGGTGAATGGAGTACCTGTACATAACAGATCAAAACCTTCAGATTCATGCTTCTGCTAATCACATTTAGCAAAGCTGATGGCTTTCTTCACACACACACACCGTATGATGACGTGTCCTGTGCGTACGGTCACCAGCAAACACTGCAGGACAGGAGACAAGGCTTAGGGTTACTTCAAGTCGCCATAATATCAAAATAGACAATTTTTTATAGATAATTGCAGTATTCAGGGCTTGACATTAACACCCGCCAACCTGCCAAATGTGTGTGTGTTTCAGCAGTGGCGTGTAACGCAGTCACTCCTGCTTTTTATTAATTATTAATTTTATATATAATAATTTTTTTAATTGTAGTCTATAAAAAAGACATCCGAAAAAACAAACTGATTAAATGTAAACTAAGAGCAATGTAGCGTTGTCAAAAATATTAATTTTTTGATACTGAAATATCTGAATCTGATACTGAAATATCATGAGCTCTCATGATCTCTCCGACAGCGAGTGCCACAAACCCGCCTCCTCTCACTCACTTGCTCCGGATGAATATTGTTGCTGTTACAGGGCTTGAATTTCGGCGTGGGATTGCAAGTATTGCGCATAATTACACTCACTCCTGCAGACTTTGAGTTCACACCCAAAGTATGCACACAAAGCGGCATCTCAGCACTAAATGTAGTTATTTTCCACTGCTTATTGGGCTGAAACTGTCAAACACACACAAAATGCCGGTCTTGGCAAGTATTCACATAAACCCAGTCAGTTGTGTTTTAAGTGACCAGTTGAGAAAGAAAGCGCATGTGTAACAGTATAATGGATCAGTGCGATAGGTCTTAAAGTGACAGCAGCCTAATAATCCTGCTGCCAAATTGAGATAATATTAAAGAAATCTATATGGCAGTTTTTCCTCAAGGTATCGATGTTGTAGCCAGTGAAAACGTTGATTAAATGCTAAATAACTATAGAAAACTACTAGCCACAGTGGCTGGTAAGCAAAATATTTAATGTCAAGCCCTGGTAGTATTTATTATTGCACATCATTATTGTTTTGTAAAGTTAATGTGCCGTTTTAACATTTAATCTTTATTCAAATCAATTAGCGGGACAACCTGTTACTCACATGAGATTAGCAATAGCAAACATCAAACCAATTCCCCATGGACAAAATCAAGTCTACAGTCATTGCTAAATCTACATACTTTTTTTTCTTGTTTAAAAAACAAAACAAAAAAAACATTATATATATATACCATAGACCATCGTGACTTCTGTGTCATGCCTACTTTCAGAATGTAGAGAAAGAGGGAAAAACTAAAGAAAAGAGGGACTGTACTCTTCAGTCGCTACAGAGGATTGTAGAGTTCTCTCACCTCCGCTGCCATGAAGGCCACAGTGTGCATGCCGTGAAGATGCCCGACTACAGCGCAGAGCACAGCCAGACCCCCACAGCACAGCAGCACAGACACCAGCAGAGACAGCACGCGCACGTGACTGCCCATCGGGGTCGTGGGAGAGAACGAGAGCTGGCGGGGGCAAACAACAGTATATCAGCAACTCTGCCCAGAGAGGACGAGGTGAAGGAAGTAGGGAATGAGAGAAGGATGGAGAGATGCAAGAACAAACAATAGGAAGGAAGGGATGAAGTAAATAAGAGTGATGGAAGGAAATTAGAGCAGAGGAAGGAAGGAAAAAGGAAGAAAGTAAGGAAGGTAGGGAGTAAATAAGAATGTAAAATAAAGGAAACATGAAGGAATGAAGGTAGGAAGGAAGGGTGGAGCAAGGAGAGAGGGAAAGAAGCAAGAAAAAGAAGGGAAATAAGGAAGAAAGTAGGAAGGACAGAAACAAAGGAAGCAAGGAAGAAAGTAAATAAGAGCAGAGGAAATAGAGAGAGAAGGAAGGAAGGAACTAAGAACAGAGGAAAGAGAGAGAAGGAAGGAAGTAGGGAAGGAAGGAAGGGAGTAAATAAGAGCAGAGGAAAGAGAGAGAGAAGGAAGGAAGGGAGTAAATAAGAGCAGAGGAAAGAGAGAGAGAAGGAAGGAAGGGAGTAAATAAGAGCAGAGGAAAGAGAGAGAGAAGGAAGGAAGGGAGTAAATAAGAGCAGAGGAAAGAGAGAGAGAAGGAAGGAAGGGAGTAAATAAGAGCAGAGGAAAGAGAGAGAGAAGGAAGGAAGTAGGGAAGGAAGGAAGGGAGTAAATAAGAGCAGAGGAAAGAGAGAGAAGGAAGGAAGTAGGGAAGGAAGGAAGTAGGGAAGGAAGGAAGGGAGTAAATAAGAGCAGAGGAAAGAGAGAGAGAAGGAAGGAAGGAAGTAGGGAAGGAAGGAAGGGAGTAAATAAGAGCAGAGGAAAGAGAGAGAGAAGGAAGGAAGGAAGTAGGGAAGGAAGGAAGGGAGTAAATAAGAGCAGAGGAAAGAGAGAGAAGGAAGGAAGTAGGGAAGGAAGGAAGGGAGTAAATAAGAGCAGAGGAAAGAGAGAGAGAAGGAAGGAAGGAAGTAGGGAAGGAAGGAAGGGAGTAAATAAGAGCAGAGGAAAGAGAGAGAGAGAAGGAAGGAAGGAAGGATAAATTAAATAAGTAAGAAACATAGGAAGGAAGGAAACGAGTGAAGCAAGGCAGAAAGAGAAATAAGGAAGAAAGGAAGGAAGGGAGTAAATAAGAACTGAAAAGGAAGGAGGTAAGGAAGAAAGGAAGTAGGAAAGGTAGGTAGGTAATTAACCCAATTAATATTTACATACAATACAAATATACATAAATGTCTTAATTATACTCAGATTCTCCAACAAATATCTTACTATTACAATGACATATCTTTTGGATTATATTGGCGGTTAAAGCAAATGTTCATCAAAACACTCCCTGCCTGAATGATGCAGTGTAAAGTAAAGAGTACATGAATGAAGGAGTCTAACGGCACTACTAGAGATCTCTGAACACCAGTGTGTGTTGATGTGGTTCTCACGTATTCAAAGCGGTCTTTGCAGAGCTGCACCATCAGATGCAGGAAGATGAGCATGGAGAACCACAGACACCACAGCACCACCTCCTCCACCCGCTGCACGTTCAGCACGCCGAAGATGAAGATGAACTTGTAGAAGATGAAGTTCCAGAACTTATCTTTCAGATGCTGGTCAACAGAGAAGAGCCCCATCAGAACATGAGCACAGAACACACTGCTGAAATCATTTCTTTTTCTTTCTTTTTTTTGATCAATTTGATCAAAAACAGAGCAAAAAATAGTAATACTGTGAAGTATTATTACAATTTAAAATGACTGTTTTCTGTGTGAATATAATGTCAAATGTAATTTATTCCTGTGAGTTTTCAGCATCATTACTCCAGTCTTCAGTGTCACATGATCCTTCAGAAATCACTCTAATATGATGCTCAAGAAACATTTATTATTTATTATCAATGTTGAAAACAGTTTTTATTTTTTGTGAAAACTGTGTGGAATATCTGTGGAATCAGATTTGATGAATACAAAGTTAAAAGAAAAGCATTTATTTGAAATAGACATTTCTGCAACATGATCAAAGCCTTTACTGTCCCTTTTCAAAAATATATATATACATTTCTGACCTCAAACATTTGAACGGCATTTTTACAGTCATCTGTTAATAACTACGCCACTGCTTTGAATGGTTATCTTCCCCTTTTCAAAATCTACCAACATATTTTTTATTACTACCATATTATGAATAATAAACTTGTTTGAATATGTAAATACTAAAATGATATCCATTCAACTCTCCAGATATTGGTTTTGACATACAACAAAACGACATTTCATCACAGAAAATGACCTTAAAGTAAGTAAAACCATGATATGACCTATATTTTTGGAACTGACAAAAGAACTCAAGTTGTCGAGGATGTTTGTTATGCAGATCTTCCTCATATAAGCGTCGCAGCAAAGGCTGGCTGTGTGTGTATTGCCTGATACAGTAGATGTGGAGGATCCCTACCTGTTTCTCACTGACTCTCAGCGGGCCGAACACAATGCACTGGATCACTTTAGCGATCAACATGAGGATGCAGCACGCCGTGTTCACCATCACCTGTGGGAAAACGACAGCTTCTTTAAAATAAAAACATCCTCACTCAACACTGGTGTGTTTTGAAGCTAGTCCCACATACCCAGACAAACAGGCTGTCCGTGATGAGATACACAAGCACACTGGTGGCCATGTTCCCCAAGTTCTCCAGCGGATCCAGCTTGATCTCCTCCTCATCAGGGCCGCTGTGTGGGTCTCCAGCCAGAGGAGAGGAGTCCTCTGAGTCTCTGACCGAGCTGTAGGCACTCAGGATGGTCCCAGCCAGCAGAACAGTGCTCAGGGCAGTGTATGTGTGTAAGCTGGGCCAGGGGAAGCGCTCCAGAAACAGCAGAGGCATCCTGACTGACTGATGCTCCTCTCGGGTCGCACTGCAGGCTTAAACAGCGTTCCTCTGCGCGGTCTGCTTACTGGGAGTCCAGGGGGAACCACTGTCCTTTTACAGATCACAGGCGTATTTAAAATCCTCTTAAAAACAAACACTTATCAGGATTCAGGCCTGTTTTCACCTGAGAGTCCAAATGCAGTCTGACAGATCTTAGGACACGTAACGTTAGACACAACACGCAACAGACTCTAAAGCTAGAATTAAATACAATATATATTGTTATATGGTATGTTTAAACCCCATTCCGTCGAATAAAATGCTAAATGTTTATAATTCGTTAAAATAAATGTTAATATTTCCAGAACAGTTGATTATTTCACAACATTAGCATGGAAGCTAATCTGCTTCAGCTACGTATTGATTAGAACAGGACTAACAGTTTGATAAACTCGTCAGACAGTCTTTAAATCTGACCCGTGATGCTCGACGATCTGTCTGACATCTTCTAGCTTGAAATAAAACTGTGAAATGTCATGTTTAGATCAGTTTCTCTGTCTGTTTCTGGCACTTTCTATCCCTCATACCTGTTTCCGCTGCCTTAGACGTCACCCTGTGAACTTCCGGTGCTTATGTGACGACAGGCGGGGCCTCCCGGGTAAACAACAATTAAATATTTAAATAGTACCCAGCTATGACTAAAAGCCATATTACCCTAACAAAACATTACCATGATAACCACAGATTCAGTCAAAAATAGTATATTATTGTAATTATTATCACAGTTATTGGTTCTAAAATAGGCTACTTGTTTACACCTCACACAAACTATGGAAACTCGTAATAGGGCTGAATAAATTAAAATTAAAATTAAAATGTGGAATTTATTAATTTTATTTAAAAAATTTGGATACTTTAACTTTAAATATTTGTTTTAAACCTTTCAAACAAACAAACAAGGTGAATGTATAGGCTACCAATTAATATTATTCACAGTTTCAATTCAAGCATATTTCTTGGAGTTCATGAAGATTGTCACAAAATCTCTTTTATGTTCAGTAAAAATTCATAAATACAAAGACATTTCAAAAGCTTATCAAGCAATGGGAAAGTTATGGTAAAATATCTCTAAAGTCAACACTCGGCAGATTAAAACATGAGATTGTGCTTTATACACTAAACACAGCATATTTTGTCTTTATAATTTAAACTTTTTATGATTATCATAATTTCTAAGAATATATTTTACATTTATAATCAAAAGGAGACAATTGAAGACAAATGAAACATTTCAATAAGATCATTAAAAGGCCCGCCAGGATAAGGCACATATTGAATCCAAAGCTATATGACTGGTCATTATTTCACATTCACATTTGATATGCTCGGTTAAAATCCATAAGCATCCACTTTTAAGCAGACAACTTTTATGTACATAATATTTCTCATAGAAAATCTTTTCTAAATGTGCAGTAGATGCAGGACACTGAGACCGAATCAGTCCAAGCGGTTCAGTGAGATGTCCAGGTCTCGGATCATCGGTTTCCGCTGAGAATCTTTGGGATCTTTGAGTTACGGAGCGCTGCTGGCGTTCCCTGAATCTGGAGTCTCGAACAAGTCTCTTACAATGATTTCACTTACTGCAAAGAAGAAGAAAAGATGTTTGTTTAGGGGTGAATTGCACACACATACTGTAGGGTTGAATCTCATTATACTGTATGTCAACATCAACATTCATTATCATTGTCCGTCTTTATTAAATCCACCTGAGGGCAGTGTTGTGTGTGTGCAAACATGAGTATTTCCTTCCAGCTCTAATTTAAAGCTACAGCGGTGTTAAACGCAGTCATAATTATTACAGTGTTTTACTGTTAAGCTTCCAACCTAAAAGCTCAAGCCTAGTCTCAACTAGTTCCTGAAATACAGCTGGTTTCGCTGACAAAGAGCCTTTCCAATAACCAAACACATCTATTAATACACTTTAAACAAACAACAAGTTATTTACAACATGACTTTCATTACGCATATTGAAAGAAACAGAGTTAGATATATTTAAAGAGCTATAAATATATTTAAGCCAGAAAAGGTAGATGTGTGCATTAGGACAATAATCTGTTTGAGCAAAGATGAAAGACAACAACAACAACAACTCTCTCTCTCTCTCTCTCTCTCTCTCTCTCTCTCTCTCTCTCTCTCTCTCTCTCTCTCTCTCTCTCTCTCTCTCTCTCTCTCTCTCTCTCTCTCTCTCTCTCTCTCTCTCTCTCTCTCTCTCTCTCTCTCTCTCTCACTCTCACTCTCACACACACACACACACACACACACACACACTATCTCTCTCTCTCTTACACACACACACACACACACACTCTCTCTCTCTCACACACACACGCGCGCGATCATGAAGCCGGACAACAGCACTCACTCATCAGGGGTGGTCCACTGCACCTGTGCTCTCCACACGCTACTGGTGCGCCAGGTAATGGAAATACTACACAAGTTCTGTCCTGGCAGGGTTTGTTTCATTATAAAATTACATATTTATGATATGTAATTTATTATTTAATCTGAACCCTGTTTTCATTTTTTTAAATTATTTTATTCATGTTATATAGTTTCATTTGTTGTATTTTAGTGTTGTTTTTAAATACACATATACACTCACCGGCCACTTTATTAGGTACACCTGTCCAACTGCTCGTTAACACTTAATTTCTAAGCAGCCAATCACATGGCGGCACCTCAGTGCATTTAGGCATGTAGACATGGTCAAGACAATCTCCTGCAGTTCAAACCGAGCATCAGTATGGGGAAGAAAGTTGATTTGAGTGACTTTGAACGTGGCATGATTGTTGGTGCCAGAAGGGCTGGTCTGAGTATTTCAGAAACTGCTAATCTACTGGGATTTTCACGCACAACCATCTCTAGGGTTTACAGAGAATGGTCCGAAGAAGAAAAAACATCCAGTGAGCGGCAGTTCTGTGGGCGGAAATGCCTTGTTGATGCCAGAGGTCAGAGGAGAATGGCCAGACTGGTTCGAGCTGATAGAAGGGCAACAGTGACTGAAATAACCACTCGTTACAACCGAGGTATGCAGAAAAGCATTTGTGAAGCCACAACATGCACAACCTTGAGGCGGATGGGCTACAACAGCAGAAGACTCCACCGGGTACCACTCATCTCCACTACAAATAGGAAAAAGAGGCTACAATTTGCAAGAGCTCACCAAAATTGAACAGTTGAAGACTGGAAAAATGTTGCCTGGTCTGATGAGTCTCGATTTCTGTTGAGACATTCAGATGTTAGAGTCAGAATTTGGCGTAAACAGAATGAGAACATGGAACCATCATGCCTTGTTACCACTGTGCAGGCTGGTGGTGGTGGTGTAATGGTGTGGGGGATGTTTTCCTGGCACACTTTAGGCCCCTTAGTGCCAATTGGGCATCGTTTAAATGCCACGGCCTACCTGAGCATTGTTTCTGACCATGTCCATCCCTTTATGGCCACCATGTACCCATCCTCTGATGGCTACTTCCACCATGTCACAAAGCTCTAATCATTTCAAATTGGTTTTCTTGAACATGACAATGAGTTCACTGTACTAAAATGGCCTCCACAGTCACCAGATCTCAATCCAATAGAGCATCTTTGGGATGTGGTGGAACGGGAGATTCGCATCATGGATGTGCAGCCGACAAATCTGCGGCAACTGTGTGATGCCATCATGTCAATATGGACCAAACTCCCTGAGGAATGCTTCCAGCACCTTGTTGAATCTATGCCACGAAGAATTGAGGCAGTTCTGAAGGCAAAAGGGGGTCCAACCCGTTACTAGCATGGGGTACCTAATAAAGTGGCCGGAGAGTGTATTTATATATATATTTTACAATCGCTAGGACCCGTTTCTCAATAGTTAGGTCACTGAGGTCATAACTCTTCACACAGAGAGCACAACATCAGTCTATGTGGATCATTGGCAGGAAATGCTACATATTTCAAATAACATCAATTCTTTTCTCACTCAGACACAGACATCAAAACTATATGTACCTACAGGCTAATTTGCACATGCTGTCACTCTTTTCAACACTGTTAAACTTAAGTTCAAAGCCTAACATAATACAAAAATGAATAAGAAATGTTCTACATTTCTACAGTAATACCATATTGAAATATATTTATTTATTATTGTATATCTCACTCTGCTAAACCAATTGGATGTAAAAGCAAGAAGCTTAAAAGGAGAGTTCACCCAAAAATATACTTTCTGTCATCCAAAATACTATGGAAGTCAATGGGGACCATCAACTGTCTGGTTACCGGCGACATTCTTCAAAATATCTTCTTTTGTGTTCAGCAGAAGAAAGATATTCATACAGGTTTGGAACAACTTGAGGGTGAGCTGTTCCTTTAATAGCTAAATATATTCTACTCTACTGTCCACAGAAAAAAGCAGGTATAAACACCTTCATTAACAAAGTTCAAGTTCAATCAAACTTCTACTTTCATTTAAACTGTCTTCTTCCAGGCTAACAGCAGCAACATCTAAAGTGCAGTATATGCAAGACTGTCACAATACAGCTGCGCAAAACTAGCGGTGGATTAGCCTTCACGTTATATTTAGCTCGTTCAGTGACTCCATGCAATGCCAGTATCCTCTTTCCCACCGCACTGCGGGACTAGAGACTATAATTAGGCCCAAACCGAACCGGCGTCCAGACACTAGGGGTGGCAGCTGCTAGTTTTTCTAGAGTGTAAACAAAAATCCTGGCTAGCATATGCCACAAAGTTAGTTAGCTTGGCGTGAGTTACTGACTCAGCATGAGACACGGTCAAAAGCGTGTATTGCATGTAAACAGATAATATGGTCTGGAATAAACAGGTGCAGTCACACAGTAATACCAGGTGTTCATGTGCAAATGTTAATGGACTTATTTCTTGGTCACTAAACTCTTGATTACTTAGCATAATGAAATCCTAAACCCACTCACACATGAAGTGTGGAAAGAAATGTTCCAGGTACAATATAAATTCGTCTTTATCATCAAAATATTTGGCATAATCTTGATTACCACTGAAAATAATTTTGAGCCGACCCTTAGTTTGTACAAACAAACAAATCTAATTTAGTTGATGCACTCATTACAGTAATGCACTTACAATAGGAATCTAGGAAAAGGAGAGTTTAGAAGCATAAATGTGAAACTTGTATGTTTGTTGCTTGGGGAGTGAATTTGTTTTTAGTGGTGGAAATACTGTTCTAGGCAGCTAAGACTTACTGTTAAAGTCATCCTGCAGTCAATCACTTTATCCCTTAAAGCTCATCTTTGATCACTAAATTTTTCCTTGAAACTTGAATGTAACTCAACACCCTTGCCTCATTTATTATGCGCGGTTCTATGAATATTCAATTGAGCCCCGCCTCCACTCACTCACTCAGCTCAGAGATCCACTGGTTGACATCACACGTTGATCTGATTGGTTTCAAGGTAGTTTGTGACGTCAGAAACACCAGCGATTTCAAACCGTGTTTTTGAGACTGTCTTTGGTTCACTGCAGTTTTAAGCAGAAAATACTCAGCAACAGGGACGTGCACAGGGGGGTTGCTCAGGTTGCCCGGGCAACTGCCCATATGCCCTTCTCGACTCAGGTTGCCCTTCCGAGGGAAAAAAATAAATAAAAATAAAACATCGTACAATGGATGCAGAATTTCACGTAGGCCTAGAAAAATAAAAATAAAAAAAATCGCAAAAGCCTCATTCACTTCCATTCGGGCACTCAGCTCAACTGTTTACGTGGCTGCAGCGCTGCACGCGACCGGTGCGTAAGACCCCGCAAATTACTTAAGGCCCCGCCTCCATCTCGTGTCATAGCGCGTCAATTAATGTGTAAAACATCCATGACAAAATGAAGCGAAACTATCCTTTTGGTCACGAAAAGAGGAAGAAGAAAAAACCATGAGAGTGAATTGCGGGAACAACAATCAGGTAAACTTGTGTTCTCTCCTCTCTAGTTTGATGTCAGCATAGTTTGATGTTTTTCGGTCTTAGCTGGGCAGGCAGTGCATCTCTTGCATCACTTTGTGCCTGACAAAAGTGAGAGTAAAATAAAAAAAATTACGTTTGTTTTTGATAAACGACAAAGTGCAACGGTGTTTGTTTACTGCAGCTCAGAAAACATAACCGCGTCGCGTGTGTTATCGTGCGTTCATGCGCGTGCACGTAATGAAACTCGCATTTTTCAAGCAGAAATTTGTGGAGACCAGACATACTGTACAATACATGCACGTGAATGATGGCACTCCCAATCAAAGTACACATGAAAAACAAGACACTGATTATCTAGTCTCAGTGTAGTTAAAAACTCTAAACAACTGCACTAATTATGCAAGATAGAAAGCAATGTATTGACAATTTGACATTGATTGACTATTGATTTATAGGCTATATTGAATTTAAAATGTTGATTAGCTGGACATACTGCTCAATATGAATGCACATCCCTCAGTAAATAATAACCATAAATCAAGAATTGCTTCAACATGCATAATAATAATAAAAAAAATCATACTGATGCCGAAAATACCCAGGCTGTAGAGAGAACCAAAGTTAATCCCAAAAGCCAAAGCTCAGGGTTATAATTTATTATTTTCTTCTTATTTATGTTTACGTTAATATTCACTTGTTATGTTAACATTCTATAGAAAATACTCTATTCAATAAATATTGTTTGTTTGAACCTCATTCTGTTCTATATTGTTGTAGCTACTTATTCTTTGACTGTTTTGTTTAAAGGAGGGAGGATTGTATTGGGAGCACTGAAGTGTCAGGTGTGACTGTGTGGCAATGGCAAATGGTTTACATAGCTCACGAACTGAATACGAGCAAGAAGCACAACTGAATGTACGGGAAGCCAAAAGGTTAAAAAAGGATTGTATTTTTTCCCAAAATCTAAGCGCTTTTTTTTGGGGGGGGGGGGGGGGGTTCCCTTTTTTCAGGTCAGAGCAACTGCCCCTCAAAATTCCTGTGCACGTCCCTGCTCAGCAATGCTGTCGACTTATGAATCTGCACATGGTTTATCTTAAAGCATATTTAAAACACCACATAGACATATAAACAACATTAAAAGCTGGATTTTTTACCACAGAGGAACTTTAAGTCTAGTGGCTATACCTCAGAAACAGTTGTGGGGAATCCCTTACCTCAGAGAGTAATTTAGATTGTTTATATAAACTGAGAAACGAAATGAATGTATGTGGTCATAATCAGCATTGTTCCCTTTACTTCATTCATTTAAAACGGTTCTCCTTGGAGTCTTACCATCATCGAGAGTGATATCCTGTAGGCCTATGGACTGAAAGCCAAGCTCTTTCTCTTCATCTGGTTCCTGTTTAATATCAAGGCTTTCTCCACCTTGTGGCAAACTGTAGCGTTCGCTGGACTCCTCAAGAGATGCGCCTGAAGGTTGAGGGTCCATCAAGCTCTCTCGGATAGACGGTGAGTTGGAAGGCACTTTGGCAAGAGTAGGCTGGTGGGAAAGAAGAAGCACCTGGGAAGAGGACGACTGTGGGAACTGCACCGGATCCAGACCAGATGTTTCCACATTTGCGCTAGTTAGAACAGAGGTGCTGGACACTGAGATAGAGCCACGGTTGTAGAGATTATGAGTGTGTTCTGAAGGGAAGCCTTGGTATCCTTCACCTCGGTGAGACCTGGGTTGCTCTGCAGGGATTTGGGATGAGTTGCAGCCTTGCAGTGAACCCCCAACCATTGGAAGACTAGGTTGTCCTTTGTAAGACAGATCCTGTTGAGGTTTTTGGTACAAAGAGTTGTTGAAATCCACCAGTGAGAACATAGGGTGGAGGTCTGCTACGGCATCAAGGATTCGGTCTGCCGGATGAGAGCGGCTCAGATGCAGATCCTGAGGTGAGTAGCAGAGATGGGCTGAAGATGGGGACCCTTCGGTCAGCAGCCACTGCTCCAGAGGCTGGACCTCATCTGAAGAGATCGAGTCCCCAGTGGCGCTGAGACCTGTTGGGGACGCGGCTGGATGCTGGCCGTTGGTATTAAGGTCCGGCCTCATGCCAAACTCCTGCTTCACATGCACTGCTTTGGAAGGAGGGTGTTCAACACATTACAGATTAGCTTTGTGGACATTTCTTCATTTCTCAAAACATTTGAAAATTGATATATTATATTGTCCAATTGAGTCCTAAATTGTCCAGTTCTATAGTATTCTAAGGCCCTGTTTACACCTGGTATTAAAGGAGTAGTTCACTTTCAAATAAAAATGTCCCGATAATTTACTCTCCCCCATGTCATCCAAGATGTCCATGTCTTTCTTTCTTCAGGCGAAAATAAATGAAGGTTTTTGAGGAAAACATTCCAGGATCTTTCTCCATATAATGGACTTCAATGGCAACCAACGGTTTGAAGGTCCAGATGTCAGTTTCAGTGCAGCTTCAAAGTCTCGACACGATCCCAGTTGAGAAATAAGGGTCTTATCTAGCGAAACGATCGGTCATTTTCTAAAAAAAAAAAAATAATATATACTTTTTAACCACAAATGCCCGTCTTGTACCATCTCTGAGATGGGCCACGCTTTGCGTCATCACATTGGAAAGGTCACGCATGACATCATTAAACATCCAGGATATGCAATAAACTGACACAAATACATATAAATATGTGTCATTCAACATACAATAACTTTGAACGGTCCTCCTACTCCAAACTTGTAAACAGTGGGTCGGCACTTCCGACTGCGTCAAGCGTGACCTTTCCAACGTGATTACGTAATGCGTGGCCCATCTCAGAGATGGTACAAGACGGGCATTTGTGGTTAAAAAGTATATAATTTTTATTTTTTTTTAGAAAATTACAGATCGTTTCGTTAGATAAGACCCTTATTTCTCGGCTGGGATCGTGTCGAGCCTTTGAAGCTGCATTGAGACTGACATCTGGACCTTCAAACCGTTTGTTGCCATTGAAGTCCAATATATGGAGAAAAATTCTGGAATGTTTTCCTCAAAAACCTTCATTTCTCTTCGACTGAAGAAAGAAAGACATGGACATCTTGGATGAAGTGGGGGTGTGTAACTTATCAGGAAATTTTTATTTGAAAGTGAACTACTCCTTTAAGATGTGTTTTGGTCGATCGGATCACAAGTAGACGAGGGAGACACATTCCCGTTTACACCTGTATTTTAATCCGTCTCTTTTGTCCACTTTCAACCACTTCTGTCCTGATTTCTTTGAGAGGAGAATATTTACACATTAGGTCAGTAGGTCTTTTGTGGCTGTTTGAACACATTTGACCACATGAGCGTTTACACTACGAAAGCAATCCGGTCAAATGTGTTTTCGACTACCTCTGGAAGTGGTGGAAAGTGGACAAGTTCAAAACGTTTTAGACCCCGTTTACACCCATATTTGGCGTCGTCCACTTATGATCGGATCACCAAAACACATCTTAATACTAGGTGTAAACAGGGCCTCAGTCTCAGACAACATGGCATATTATACAGATTTTAAAGTTTTCAATCTCCAAACCTAGAAGCTCAAATTTGATTGGTTAGCCTCTACCCAAGGTGTTGCCAACCCAGCAGACCTTCAGATCTAACCCTGCTCCAACATTAATGAGTAATCCTGAACACCTTGATTAGTATGTTTGATTAGGCAAAGAAATAAACTCTGCAGGATGGTAGCCTTCCAGGAGCAGGGTTGGCTATCCATGTCCTACACAAATTGGTACACAGAAATGGTCTATTTATTTATTTATTTATTTTTAAAGTTACCAGGCTGCTACAACAAACGCTTCAGAACATATATATCTCCTGGGACCCAAGAATAGACTTTTGTCCACTGTAGTGGACATTATATTTTAGTGAATTTCTCTGACATCATACATGTCACATGACACAACCTGGGTGTCCTGTAAAGAGCACATTCAGGACTTTTCAGAGATACCAAATGTTTGGAGGTTTCACCATGAAAACAACTTCTCCTTGGTCTTTAAAAATGTCTGACATTAATTTAGTGATCAAATGTAGCATTCTTATGGAAATATGATAATATAGTGTAATTATAATATAAATTGGACTACTTTTCAAATTGTATTTCATAAAACAACATCTCAGGAAAATGTTAAGGGGTTTAAAAAAAAAAAAAACTTTCTGTTACAGAACAGGGCATTGATTTCAAACGTGTCCACTGTAGAGGACATCAGGACTAAAATCATGTTTATCAGGCATTCTGGGAGACACAACAAGTGAATATGGAAATAAATTATACATCAATATTCCTATGAAATGTTAGATATTATTATTAAAATGTTGCCAATTATTACTCCAATTATTACCCTTTATTCTTTCATTAAATGTTGCTCCCAGAACACATTAATGTGCAAATTAGATACAGTGTATAGATACATTGCATTGAATGGGAATATTAACTTATGGCCATTTTACCCACATATTGCAAAAAGTAAAATGGTGTATCAATTCATTCCATTATTTCTTTCATAACATAGGTGAGAATAATCTTTATACAAATTTTGGTTGAAAAAATCCTGAAACCCCAAAATGTATTGGTGATTGAAAAAAAAATCCCATTGTTTTTGCCTATACATATAATTTCATGTCATTTTATTTTTTAAACAACTTAGTCCTGGCGTCCACTACAGAGGACATAGCATAACGTATGAATAAAATATTATTTTATATATATGTTTTTTTACCATTTGTTTATTGTGCTCTAAACAGTGTGATGACATGGAAAAAAACTAAATTCAAAAAACTTTTTTTTTCTGGGTCTCAGGAGGCTATTAAATCTGTTCAGAGTTTTGTTTGAGACACCTAGGCCTTGTTTCTGCCTGGTATTAAGATGTGTTTTGGTGATCCGATCACAAGTCATCAGCTGAGACATCCATGATTCCACCTGGTATTAACATATTAACTGTGACTACTAGTATCTGGATTTTGTGGAAGTAAACGGGAAAGGAATTGAAGGATATGCAAGTAAATGGAAATGATAATGAGATCAGCTGTGTTACCATTGAAAATTGTATTTTTATACAACACAGTGAAGTTTGAATGACTTGTTTTAGTGTGCTCTCTCACAACACACGTTATGTGAAAGTGCGACGAGTAGGAAGTGCTTCACTGCGGTCCGGGACGCACTAAGGACGGAGCGTTTCTACAACTACAAAGGCTTTTTGTGGTCACAAGTGTTTTTGACTACCTCTGTATGTGGTTTCAGTTACAGTGAAACGTTTTACACGTTCCTAGAGACTGTTCATTACATGAATGAGCTACTACCGGTCTATTTTAGATTGACCTTGATATATTAGTCAGACTGCCTCTTGCCGTCTAACTGGCAGTTCTTGCCACCAAAGTGGACCAGTGTTGCTGATAGTTCTACTCGCAAGGACTATTACCTGAAAGATAGGTGAAGAACTGTGAGACACTTCTCTTCCTTTTGCCATTGCTGACATAGAACTGCACCTGGGTGGAGGAAGCCGTGGTTTTCTTGTAGTACGGAGGAATCTTTACCACTATGCTTGTCTAAACAGGAATGGGAACACACAAGAGACACCTGTAATTATAGATCTCAATGGGATGTGCATTTAACAATGAACATATGCCATGTTGTTTAAATAAAATGAAGAATATGAGTGTTTTATAACAAAATCAATAACTTATTATGCTCACATTTGGACTCTTCTCTTGTAAAGCCCTCACATCGACCTCCCATTGTGTTTTACCATCTGGAATGGAAAAAAGACAATACAAAGGCTCTTTTGTTATTACATAACAAACTGTCATCCAAAATGTATTGCTAAAACAGCTCCTAATTAGAGCAGAGAGTCATGGGCTTCATCTCAAATCACATACTCTCTTCAGTAGGTACTTATCCTCTTCTTATTTTGAATTACTTCACAGCCGCTAAAAAGTAAGTTCTATATACATGTAATCCGGAGGTACTACATTCGCCACGTTGTCATTATCATGTGATCTACCGGCGTAAGTTACGTTGCTTCACCGCTATTCATAAATCCGTGGCCTCATGGGATAGGAAAGTGTCCATCAAAAACACACTTCAGAATCTCACCGGAAGCAGTCGGTCATCCGGGTACTTTTAGCCTGTTCTTTTATGAGTACTGTTTTTGTCTACTATATTAGGCAAGTATGCGATTTCAGATGCAGACTAGCGGTGTGTCAGGGTTATGTTTGATCTGTTTAAGGGTACAAAATGATCCCAATTCACACGGATCCGTGAAAACGACTCAAAACCCTGTATTCTGCTGCCAGGCCATTAGATGGCGATGAAACACTATAGTATAGACTGAACAAGTCATATGAGTCTGCATGACGTCATCGTTTCCACAGATTCACGTTTTTACTGTTTACACGGAGACCGTTTTCAAAAACGTCCACTTTGAAACCTGTTTTCAAAAGTTAGCTTTTTCAGGCACCCAAAACGCCGTTGTCGTGTAAATGAACGGCCAAAACACACAAAAAGTTGTACGTTTTTTTGAAAACGGTGTCTCCTGGGTTCCTCAGTGTGTAATTAGTCATGTCACCTGTGTCTCATTTCTTTGATTAGTTCACTGTGTATTTAAGCCCTGTGTTTGGTTCAGTTCAGTTCAGTTCTCTGTTATTGTTGCGCTAAGCTTGGTTGTTCTGTTCCTGCCTGAGAGTTTGTTCCTGAGTTGTATTGTTTCCTTTTTGTTCTTGTTAATACATTTAAACTGCAGCAATTAGATCCTCTTTCTCCTCGTCTCTGCAACCCGCAAGTTACATACACTGTGAGAATGGTTATTATAATAGATGATTTCACTTACCAGAGCTCTTTTCTAGAAAGACCACTATTGATTCTGGACTGATGTTTTGGCCTGTTATAAGCATCTCTTCTCCTCCAGTCACAGAACCACAGGCGGGACTAAAGCTGTCGACTTGAGGAAGTTCCTGAGCTAAGCGTTGAGCTGGTCAACAGAGAAAAACAATGGCTTTAAATTGCAGAGGAAATGTTAATCAATACGGTTCGGTGACATTTTCAAATACAAAATTAGATTTTTGTGGCTTTTAGTCAATGTCTGGCCATCTATATAATGTATTTAAAACTTTTTAAAAGTATTTTAAATATTTAAAGTTTTCTTTTACATGTTTAAAAATGTACAATATTTCTCTTATAAGGAAATGGACCTTATTGATGACATCATCTTGTTCACATGGACATACAATTTTGATCCAGGAAAGGCTCTCTAGAATGAGGATATTCCTCCACCAATATCAGTTGACTTTGACATGCAATAACTAGCATTTAATATTTAACGTATTCAATGCATGTTTTACATAATTTCACATAGGAAATCCACATAAAAAACTTACAGCATTCTATTGGTACGGACGCCACCTGCAGTGACAGCACTTTGCCGCCGTGTTGCGGGATGTGAACACGAAACACGGTGCGCACACGCGTGTTCTTACGCCCGATATCAGTCTCTCCCTTACGCAACTCGATGTCTGAGTTTCGTAGCTTCAGGATCCCAGCACAGTCGATGCTTTCAAAGAAAGTTGACAGAAGGCAGCCATTAAAGATTACAGTCAGTTAAATTCTGTTTATTTAATAATTTAATAATAAAATTAAGTTAGCAAGTGAAATTAAACCAAAGAGTGACATAAATGGTGCTATTTGCTGACAGTGGCTCAGAGAGACTCAATATAAACAGAGAGACTCAATATAAACTATTAGCTAAATCTCACGTTTAAAGTCCCCCTGTGGTGAAAATCCAGCTTTTAATGTTGTTTATGTGGTGTTTTTAAAATGCTTTAAGACAAACCATGTGCAAATTCATAATTGAAATTTCTGGTGTTTCTGACATCACAAACGACCTTGTAACTAATCAGGTCAACGTGCCGGCGGGCTTTAGCATATCGTTAACAGCGAACTTGCATATCATTAACTATGAGGCAGTGGAGTCTCAATAGAAGCCAGGTTATCCCGGTATATTTTTCTGTTGATATGAAAAATTGGGTCGATTTAGCAATATAGCAGGTGTATGATGTTTATTAGTGGTGTCCGCAGATTCAGAATAATATAGGGTTCATAGACAATTGGAAAAGAGAACTGTTGAAAAGAGATGGTATTCATCCCTGCTGGGATGGTGCTGCTCTTCTCTCTAGTAATATTGGCACATAGTCTTAGAGCTCAAACATGAATTGGGGCTCAGGTCAGGAAGCGGTCTATATCATCATATAGAGACTGTGTCTGTTCCCCGAATTAGGAAATATAAAAAACTCCCAAACCCATCTAAGGGTAAACATTTTATCGATGTTCAACAATTAAAAAATAGATATAATACAGATGAACAAATGATAAAGCTCGGGTTGCTGAATATTCGATCCCTTACTTTAAAAGTACAGATTATATCACAGATTATAACCTAGACATGTTGTGTTTGACAGAAACCTGGCTAAAAACAGGTTTTTACTGTTTTAAAAACGAGCCACGTCTGAAAGATAAAGAGTGTTGCTGTAATCTATAGTAATATCTTCAGAATTACTGAAAAGTCTAGTTTGAAATATAATTCTTTTGAAGTGTTTAATGTAACACTATCAAGTGTAAATGATAAATCACATTTGACATTTGTGCTGGCTACTGTATACAGGCCACCAGGGCACCATACAGACTTTATCAAAGAATTTGCTAGTGTTAGTGTTAGTACTGGCTGCAGATAAAGTTCTAATTGTTGGTGATTTTAATATATAGATAACAAAAAAGATGCATTGGGATTGAAATTTAGAGACATTCTGAACTCTATTGGAGTTAGACAACACATGTCAGGACCTACTCATTGTCATAATCATACTTCAGATCTAATATTGTCACATGGAATCAATGTTGATGCCGTTGAAATTCTGCAGCAGAGCGATGACACCTCAGATCATTATCTAGTCTTGTGTAAACTTCATTTAGCCAAGGCTGCAAAGCCGACTCCGTGTTACAAATATGTTAGAACTATCACTTCTGCCACTAAAGATTGCTTTATTAATAATATTCCTAATCAGTTTCATCTCCTCAGCATCCCAGATAGCCTAGAAGAACTCGATATTGCGACAGAAACTTGACTCTTTTCCAGCACTTTAAACACAGTGCTCCTTTGCGCTTAAAGAAGATTAAAGAAAATAGTCCAATGTCGTGGTACAACGAGCACACCTGGGCCCTTAAGAGAGCAGCCAGAAAAATGGAGCGCAACTGGAAGAAAACTAAACTAGACATAGAGCACGATTGCGTACAGAAAAGCCTTACAAACGGCTAGATCTGCTTATTTTTCGACTCTCTTAGAAGAAAACCAACACAACCCTAGGTGTTTATTTGACACATTGGCTAAATTAACAATAAATAAAGCTTCTACTTCTGAAGTTTCCAAAGAGCATAGCAGTAATGACTTTATGAACTTTTTTACTTACATGATTGATAATATTAGAGAGGACATTATAACTATGCAACCATCTACTACAGTATCACATCAGACAGTGCATTGTAGTCTCCCTGAGGTAAAATTCCATTCATTCATTGCAATAGGAGAGGAAGAATTGTCTAAACTCGTTAAATCATCTAAATCAACAACATGCATGTTAGACCCTATACCGACTAAGCTATTGAAAGAAATGCTTCCAGCGGTCATAGATCCTCTTCTTAATACCATTAATTCATCTCTGTCACTAGGATATGTACCGAAAACTTTTAAGCTGGCTATTATTAAACCTCTTATTAAAAAGAAAAAAATGCAACTTGATCTTAGATAATTAGTCAATGACAGGCCGATATCAAATCTACCCTTTTTGTAAAAGATATTAGAAAAAGCAGTATCCTCACAACTATGTTCCTTCTTAGAAAGAAATGATATCTGCGAGGATTTCCAATCAGGATTTAGACCGTACCATAGCAATGAGACAGCATAGTCACAAATGATTTGCTCTTATCATCCGATAGTGGTTGTATCTCTCTATTAGTGTTACTCGATCTTAGTGCTGCATTTGATACCATTGACAACAACATTCTTTTAAATAGACTCGATTATGTTGGTCAATTATGTTGGCATTAGTGGAATTGCATTAGCATGGTTTAAATCATACTATCTGACCATTATCAGTTTGTAGCAGTAAATGAAGAAATGTTTTATCGATCACAAGTTCAGTATGGAGTACCACAAGGCTCAGTACTAGGACCGTTGCCGTTTACTCTGTACATGCTACCCTTGGGAGATATCATTAGGAAGCAGGGCATTAGTTTTCACTGTTATGCTGACGATACTCAGCTCTATATTTCTTTGCGCCCCAACGAAACCCCGGCGAATTTCCTAGTACTTAATTGACTGAATTTCGAATGATTGGACCAAAAACCTCTGCACGTACTAACCTAGAATACTGTCTAACAATTGATGGCTGCTCTGTCAAGTCTTCGTCGTTGGTTAGTAACTTGGGTGTGCTCTTTGATAGCAATCTTTCATTTGAAAGCCACGTTTCTAGTATATGTAAAACCGCATTCTTCCATCTGAAAAATATATCTAAATTACGACATATGCTTTCAATGAAAAATGCGGAACAGTTAGTTCATGCGTTCATGACCTCAAGGCTAGATTATTGTAATGCTCTTATGGGTGGTTGCCCTGCACGCTTAATAAACAAACTACAGCTAGTCCAAAACGCAGCAACTAGAGGTCATAGAAGAAATATAGAACCCGTCTCCATCCAGGTGTGATGACTCTGATCTTAAACCAGATGGAACTGGATAATATTCTGATTGGTCCAAACCAATCTGACTTCTGACCTATAATGCTGCCTGAATCCTAATCATACACTGTTCGTTCATTGGCCAGAAAAGAACCTCATTAAACATATTTTATTAAAAGTACTATTTATTCCCTGAGGGGCAAAATTGAACAAAAAATTAAGAGTTCTGTTCTGTTCTGAATTTCACATATTTTCCATTAAGAGCTGCCATCTTCTTGTTCGAAAGACTAACCTGTCAGCCATGTCAATATATCATTTATGCAAAAAGTGCAGCTCATGGTGAATGTAAATCAGAGGTTTGTTTGACAGGTACCTGGCACACATGTTGTTTTCAGGAAGGAGAGGAATTTCAAGAACTTTGGTGCTGGATATCACTGTCTCTTGACTCGGAGTCGCTACAGTTTTTCCAGTAATCCTGTGCACTTGATAGAACGGGTGTGGCCTGGTGTACCGATCATCCGCTGTCCCAATGAACATCTGCAGGCTGATGGGTTTTTCATTACACCCTATTAGCTACAAATGCGAGAACAAACAATATGAGTAAACATGCATCTGATTATTCCAAATAAATGGTATGTGCCTGTCCATCAACGCTTTAATGCACTATAGCCCTTAAAGTATTCAAAGTAGCCCACATCAGGCTAGCCTTTCCAGCCAACATTCAAAGTTTGTGTTGAATAACTTTCATTTTCTAGTTTTCAAAGCTAAGAACTTCTGTTCCTCTAATGGTAGGAAAGGTTGTCCATTTGTGTTATTGGTAGCTAAGGTAAACAAACAGGCCAACACATGTAACATTAGCTTGTACCCTGTTAAAAATACCACGCGCTGACTGGATCAAAAGCTAAGACTGTCTGATATTCATCACATGAATCACATTAATCTTAACTTCTATTATAGGCAAAATTAGATCATTTATCCAATATTATCTCTAAACTAATACTAGTTTAACAAAAAAATTATAATGCATAATAATATTATGTAAATAATTAAATGCATTCAAACAATAATCTGGTATTTTGGTCTTTTATTTTTACTGGAGCAGGTGTCAGATGAGCAACAAACCTTGAGGTAAGGAACCCATTCTCAATTACCAGAATGAGTAATGAAAACATCTGCTGTGCAAGTTCCAATTTTGCACAATACAGTTTCTGTGATGAACAAAACCAACACAGAACAAGTAGGCAATGATGGATGAACTACTCCATCAATAATTAACCATAATCAATGAATCACATGTACATATTTCCATTTCTAATTCACTAGTGGCACCAAATGGAATTGCAAAAATGACTGTTTCCAAACAGGTTTTTCACTCCCATCTGGCATTTCTCAGACAAAAAGGCGACCAGGCCCGAACACAAACCACTGCCAGAAACCTTCAACTATAGGGGAATTTATAAAAGGCTATTGCGAGAGCTGGTGTAAAACCTGACCTTTACAACAGGGTGTCTTCCACAGTCGGATTTAATGGCCCCTCGACTGCCCTCCGTCTCATAATGGGCTCTGTGGTGAGGTTTAGGTTGGATCTCGATCTTTAACTCACATTGCCCACACTGACTGGGCAGAGGACATTCCAGTGGTGGTAAAGATGTGGACCTGAGCAAGAAATAAAGAACAGCAGTGGCTTTAACAAACGTAGCTGTTGTTTTTGGGAATTGGTCATTGAAACAGAACACCCATTATTATAACCCTAATAACGATGGAGCAACAAGGCTAACAATCTATGATATAACTGGCACTTATCCAAAGCCAAAGGCTGCGAAATAAATCCTATGCATACATGCAATTTACCTGTATAAAGGAGTAGTATTGACTTGTTTGGGTTTAGCCCAAGGGAAGTGCGTTGGAACGGCTAAGAAGTGTTCCACTATATCCTCTTTCCTTAAACTGGGCAGGGACACAGCTATGCCCGAGTTTAGCGATGGATTTGCAAGACCTTGGTCTTGAAGACCTGAGTCCTCATGTCCAGGCAACAGAGACGCTTGATCCTGGTGCTGGTTGTTGGTCTGATATGTTTTTCTTGTTTTGGATGGGATGTCTACCTCCAGTGGAAAGGTCTGGTAGGGGGCAAACGTGGCACCGCTCATCCACGTCTCCTCAGTGACACTCCCCCGAGGAGAGTGAGATGGTGTTACGTTGGGGGAACGGTGAGGGGACGCCAAACCAGGAATGACCTCTGCACTGGAATGTCGTCTTTTCCCACATGGCGATGTTGGCCGAGAGGAGGGCCGTGAGGAGGGCCGTGAGGACGAGGAGTGTGGATGGGGACTGAGCCACGTGTCCTCAGTGATGCTGGTGCGGGGCGACTGATACGGTGACAGCGACTGATATTGCAGAGTTTGCAGATGATGTTGTTGTTGGTAACGATACCAAGAGTCGTCTCCATATGCAGCCATGCATCCAGGAGAACCGAAGGGGGAGACTTGCGGAGACACTTGAGGAGACGCCTGGGGAGAGGTGAGGGGGGACGGCAGAGGAGACGTCAATGGTGACATTAGAGGAGACGCGAGTCGAACTCGAGCGGCCGCCTCGTTCAGCTCTGCCTCCACATCATCGTAGATGTGCGAGAAGGATTCACAGGACGAGGCATCAGACAACCAGCTGCGGGACGACAAACTGCTGCAGGGGCTGGGACACAGTGAGGACGTGTCCCTATAGGATCCATCCAATGGCAGGAAGAGCTGGTCCCTCGATAGAGACCCAGCACACGCTTCCCCACAAGCTCCTGCTGACTGGCCCAACTGGTGGCTTCCCAGATCCTGGAGGCAGTTGGCAGGGATAGAGGTGATCTGGATGCTGGGACAGTCAAACACCCTACTGGGAGAATCCATGGGTTGCAGGGACCCAGGGTGAGGGGTGCCATAAGGCTGGTTTGTATAGCTGTCCTGCTGTTCTGTCGGATGGTTGGGGTCAGAAGGAAAGAGAGGGTAGGAGTTGGCGTCATCATCCGATCTGGATTCTAGAGTAACAGAAAAAAGGTTACGGTAATTTGAACACAATACCCCTTAATATGACATATCTTGGTTTACACTTAAGGCTGGAATACACTACTCAACGATTTGCCAATGCTTAGATGCCGAAAGTCAATGCATGATGGCCACAGACTCCAATTTTTTATCAGACATGTTTGATATTTTGAGCCGATTTTAGAACACACAGCTGCGTTTCCATTCCCCTTCAAATTGCGCCAATTGAAATTACTCCCAATTTACTCCCAATACTCACATTTACAGGTCACCTGACGTACGTCTTTAAAGATGGCGCGGTATGTTTGGACAGAAGACGAGACAGAGTTCTTTATTAAACTCATAAAAGTATTACAGGAATACTGGATTCTAAACAACAAAGAAATGCCACAATTTATCAAGAGCTTGAAGCAGATATGAGGGAGAAACACCCAGAAACTCTTCATATGTGCCGCTCCCAGTATAAGGGGCTTCCTTCCCATTAATGCTTGGATAACACGCCTATGTCTCTCCTTCCATTAAAAATAATAGCTAGTGTGGTGGCTGGGATGCACTTTAACCTACAAACATCCCTTGCCATGATTTTTTGGAAGGACTTATCGCAAGAGGAACAAAATGACGATTTAGTCGCATAACATCGGATAATGGAAACGCCGTCATTGCGCAATCGTTTTTTTTTATAACATTTATAAAATATCAAAAAAGTTGTGCACATCTGTAATGGAAACGCGGATAGTGTCATGCATGTACCAACTTGAAAGACGTGTGTGTGATCCTCAGCAGTTTAGTCAGTGTATGATGCCTACTTGCCTAGTGCTTTAAAATCTGTTCAGATTTTACAAAAGTCCAGTGTATTCCAGGTTTTACATAAAGGGATTTTAATTTTTGAGAGAAACGGGATAAAAAAAACAAGAAAAAGTACGGTGGGGCATGATTTTGTCCATTGGGAATTCCTTGTATTTACATTGGACTAAAATGGCTTATTACTTTAGGACATACGCCGTAGGAATCAGACTGTGGAGGAAATAAGACTGAACCATCCAACTCCCATGGAAGCTTGTGTCCACCACTGAATAAAATATAACAAATGTACTTGCAACTTTTTTTTCTCAGAATTGCGTGATATACTGTGTAAGCTTGCAATTGCAAGTTAGGCCGGGTTTCACAGACAGGCTTTAGATTAATCCAGGATTAGGCCTTAGTTTAATTAGGGCATTTAAATTGCTTTTATAAACATGCCTTAGAAAAAAACATTACTGTAGTGCATCTTGAGACAAAACAATGGCACTGACATATTTTAAGATATGTCAGTGCAAGTTGCTTTCAGTTAAAACAACTCAAACATGCATTTTAGTCTGAGACCTGCTTACGCCTTGTCTGTGAAAGTCAGAATTGCTTGATATAAAGTCGCAATTGAATGTTATAAAGTCAGAATTGCAAGATGTAAACGCGAAAGTGTGAGACAAAAAGTCGCAATTTTCTTTTACTTTTTTTAATTTATTTTTTACTCCAGACTCCTAATCAGAGCCGTTTTCCTTTGCACCAAATGATTGGCCAGTCAAGTCAACCTTTGTTGTCTACCTAAGGTCCATCACTGCATAACTTTAGGCACTATTGGTTAACATTATCCAGTAACTCAGACTATGTGAAACACAAGATGGAGATGTTTCAGAGGCAGAGCAGTTCTTATATTTTGATTAAATATCATGAAACAAACTTTTTATTATAACACTGATGAATTGTTATTCTGTACAATGTTTAAGGACAGTATCGTTTATTAATTTCTTTTGGAAGGATAAATACAATCCAGTAACTTTATTAGGTTTTAAGTCAGCAATGTCCTTCAGCAAAATGTACTAATTTAGTAAACGAAACCTTCAGAAAAAAAACACCACAAGAAAGGTTGTTTACAAGAGTGTGAAGAAATGTTAAGCATACTTCAACAGGACACACACTGGCAAACTGTACTTGAGCAAATGCATTTCGAGAGATGCTCTTCTGGCTCATTCAGACACATGAGCAAACTGACAGAAGTGCAACAGTAGCTAACCATAAATATCACACACACACACACACACACGGACACTCTGATCCACGAGCTAGGGATGCTGTCACACTGATAACACTATGTGTCTACCATAAAGAAGTAACACGCACTCAAGCTTCGACAGTCAAATGCTCAGCAATAAAAACTGAAAGGTGATTTGCTGTGAATTTAACCATGTTATCAGCGAGGTTTACCTAAGGATAGAAAGATCAATTACAGTAGACAGTATCATTTGCATTAACAACGTCAACAGTAGCCTACAGTATTTAGGGAAGTACAGTAACATGCACACAGTGCCAATATTATTATGAATAATAATCGTGTTATTATTATTAATAATGGTTATTATTCGTATTATTCTTTGTCTACAATCCACGACGATAAGATTGGCACAAAACATAATGTATTACACACGCTTCATGTTTTTGAAAGATGTTTCGCGTGATTAGGTTTTGACCTTCCTCTTTAAGCGCTTCAACTACACTTGATGTTGAAAGATAAGGAAGTGACTTTCAGTCATTTAAAACACAGTTGCATATATTCATGACACACACACAGATCCAAACATGGCCACTTCTGTAAAACATTCTAGCCGCGACTCAACTAACGTTACGTCGCTCCCATTATAACCGCGCGCTTGCACGCACTTCATTGATACAATCGGAGCGTTGGAATCGTCGCGTCGCGTCCGCTGAAAGTAACGTACAAACCTGTGTGGCTCAGCGACTGATGAGAATAACTGCTTTCTCCAAATATCAGCCTGAAGTCCAGTTCCTCGTTGTAGTTAGTAGTCATTGCATTGGAGACCTCAGCTCTACTTTCTTCAGTTGAATTACATAAACAAACAAGCCCATGCGCGCGCAAACGCCACTACAACTCTCCAACTTTCTACAAGCGTCACTTTGGTTAACAAAACAGAGTGTAAGCGCGAAAACCCGGAACACACGGTCCAAAATGTCCTTCCCCCCCCCCCACTCAGAAGTTGGTTAGATCGAGCCTCTGGTGTTCTTTCTTCCCGGACTTTGTTGATTTCCTGCCGTGTTTAATAATCCCATGCTGGGTTCTGAGTTGATGTGAAGTCTTGCGGACATGTAGATTTGGCTGTAGCAAAGTTACATTTTACGCTGCGACTTCAGACGTGACGTCACGACATTTGACAGACTACAAACACTCGAAAAGGAAACGCACGCGCGCGCGCGCGCACGCGGCCACATTTGCAAACAGCAACAATGTAACAAGTGTGAAAGAACAATTCAGTAGCAGTAGAGCTGAGAGAGGTGGACTTTTAATAGTCGTTTGATACAGTAGACGGAAATGCACACATGATCAATTAATAGACACTGTTTGCGTCTCAAAATATAGTAAGCTGCCTCACACACACAGAATACCATGGTAACCACAGTTTCCGCTTAAAGTTGTTGTTAATTCTGAAAAATTACCAACAAAAAATATGGTATCTTGTTCAAAACAGTTTAATAACTTTATAGAATCGGTCTTTTTTTTTAATAGCAGAGACTTAATATACAATTTCATTGATTTTTTAATCTATCACATTTTTTGGGTTACACTGTCATTTATACAATGTATTAATACATTTAAGTGGGGAACAATATTAACATGTACTTACTGTTGGGTTAGTTGCATGTAATTATTCATAATTTCCTACAGTAAGTACATGTAACATGTTACAAGGACACTAAAACAAAGCGTCAGCTATTATCTTGATAGCAGAGGCTGTTACAGTTTTATTTAAAGGTTAAGTGTGAATTTAAAACGTTAATTTTTTTTTTCTTCATCTTATATGCAAAGAACACATGGACTGTCTGTAACGTAAGTAATCAAGCTATTTATAGGTATATTTCTCCAGAAACACGTCAGTGGTACCGGTGTCAAAACACACTTGCTTTGATAAGAGTATCAACCAGTTTAAGGTGTCTAATAAAAAGGAAATGTTATTTTATCGTTGCTTTTATTTTCCTGGCTGAATCTGGATACCATGGTCCTGTTTTAAAGGCTGCCTACCCATACAGCTTTTTGTGGATTATAATGCTTGAAATGCTGTCTAGTTTCGCAACTTACTAGGTTTTGAGAAACAAACTCTCACATGTGAGTCACTGAAGCTTTCCTCGTTTAATACATGGAGGGGCAAAAGTCAAACGCATAGTTAAAATGGTTTATTTCACAATGATGAACTTAGTTTCATGACACAATATGGGAGCAGTTTTGACTTTGTCCTGTAAGTAATTGGCGCTACACTGCGCCCTTCTGGTGAAGGCTGGAAATCCATCAAAATAATTATAGAAGTAAAAAAAAAAACATTCCTCCATGCAAAACATTGGCATTCAACAACTTCCAAACCAGTGTTTCTAATAGAAAACACTACTAGAGATGGCACTCGATGACTGAATTTAACCAACTTACAAGCACACGGCAGTTTGTCAAGGTAAAACGGCACTTAGCGTTGAAAGGAAGAGGAATGCGTGTCTGACAGTGAGCTCAGTGAGTGTCAGTGTTCACTTGTGGTCTGACCACAGTCACCATTCACAACTTTCGTCCTGCATATTATTTCCTCTTCCTCTTCCTGTGGCACTTCACTTATATGTCTCTTTCGTGTTGCTGACTCATGGTCATTTAGCGGTGCACATTTGTTGTCGTCCCTCTTGCGTTTATTGACCAGTCCACTGTTCTCCTCTCCGACCCGGCCCTCTGGGAGCCCGAGAGTGCGCAAACACACGACAGCTGCGGCCTGCTCCGCAAACTTCTTCGACTTCTCCCTGGACAGAGGAACAATGGAATTAACCACAGTAACTACTACAGTGCACACACACACCTGGACAACACAAAGGGCCAAGCCAAGAATGGCAGAATGGTTAGTGGTCTTTTAACGGTCTTCATTTGAATCACACATCAGTGGCCAGGAAATGAGCTGCACAGATACTGTAGATAAAGACACTCAGCACAGAACAGCGGCGTTCACAGGAAGAAGAGTCAGTGTCGTTCTGCTCAATGTTAACGTCTTCAAACAGCTCATGAGCCGTTGAAAAATGTCTCCCAGTTCGTTTGAGTTTAATGTGAGACCAAATATTCAAATCTGAACTAAACATGAGCCTGATGGACTCGTTCTCAAGACACTTCTCGGTTGTGTTTGCAGTTTGAGCAGGAGCAAAAACAACATCAGATCATCTTTAGAGAAGAGCTTTTCATTTCTGCATTTCCTCCTGAACTCCAAAGCATGACACGAGTTTCCCAGTGAAGCAGCAGCTGAAAGGCTCCTCTTCTTCATGCGATACAGATGCATTTATTATTATATTTCTCACAGGGTTTCTACAGGTATCTTCAAATTAAATTTAATGCCTTTTTAAATGTTTTAATGCCATATACGACCCGACTAACCACGTATATATATATATATATATATATATATATATATGTATAGGACGGGTCGCAGGAATGGTGGTGTTATTAGTAATATTATTATTAGTGTTTTTGTTGCTGTTATTAATAATTGCTCACACTTGCAAAAGAGAAGATTTGACACATGGCACTGACAATTCAAGCAAATACAAAGTATTTATTCTCTTCCTCAAAACCAAAATAAATAGTGTTCCGACCAATCACCGACAGGGGCGGGTGTTGTGAGGTTTTGCGCTCGTGCACGGCTGCACGCGAAGGCGGAGCTGACACCCACACCCACATAGGGGACAATTTGACAAGTTATAATAAATGATCTTTTGAGCTGACACTTCACAGACACATTCTGGGGACACCAGAGACTTATCTTACATCCTGTGAAAAGGGGCATAATAGGTCCACTTTTAGAAGTACATTTGCTTAACCACAAATTATTGGTCCGGAAATTAGCAAAAATGAAGACATATGAAAGCTTAGTTTTTAGCCATTTTGGGCTTGGCCCATTATTTTGCCCAGGAGTGTGTGTGACGCGTCAGACAGTAAACTCACCACAGGGTAGAGCGGTACTTCTTATCGCCTACAATGACCGTGGACTGAAAAGCTCGATCTTGAGTTCGCTGTTCCTAAGAAGTAAACAAACTGTTTAAACAATCGGTCATAGGTTAATAGGTTAGTGTAATCCTCTACACCAGTGGTTCTCAACCACGCATTCTCCACAACAACATTACAATGGAATTATTTTTATATGAATAAATAGATCAATAAAAATAACACATTTATATAGAATTTTTTTTCTCGAATTTACGCTATTCACGTGGGACATACTTTTAAAGTTGGAAAATACGTAAATCTGTAAAAATCACATCTCTGATATATACACACAAACATACACACATATATATGACGCATTTCACAGTGGTGAATTGAAATAAGATGCTTGATGATGATGTTTTGTCTTATTTAATACTGGTTAAAAGCTTAATCATAAGTCTTCTTGAGGCCCTAGTTGAGAACCACTACTACGCCACACACACACACACACACACACACACACACACAGTCTAATGGGGAACTGACCGTCTCATAAACGGGTTGATCAAGCTTTTCCTGCCGGCTCCATTCCAGTAGGAACATCTTTGGAGTGATCTGAGGTGGATAATCTCGTCTGGGAAACACAAACACAATCATAAATACAGTAAATACAACCGTTAATACAGTAAATACACTGGTACCCGAGCGGGGGTGTTGTGAGCCCGAGTCATTCGTTCCATCTGTCCTGTGTGTGTGTGTGTGTGTGTGCATGTTTGTGTCACAGGTGGGCGGTTTCTTGTGCTCATTTCCTGGAAGCTGTGATTGGTTCTCCTCCACACCTCATCCAGATACTCGACCTCTGCCCTCGTGTGATTGACTGTTTTTGCTATTACTCCGTGTGGTTTTGTCTAGTCTCGAGTGTCGTATCAGAGAGATTGAGAGTGATTATTTGAGATTGTGGACCTGTGATTATTCACGCTGACCCACGCCTGATTGACTACGAACAAGTTTGCTACGAACTTGTAAATATCTTCTGTAAATATTCTTGTAGGGGCTTTGATGCCATTTTATTTTGTAAATCTAGCTTTTCACATTGTTTTTAGTTCAGGGAGGTAGGCAAGTTTAAATTGTATTTTGTTTTCTTTATTTTTGTGTTAGGAATTGTAGAGGTTGTTTTGGTTTGTTGTTTTGGCCTTGTCTGCCCCTGACGCTAAACCATTTTAAAAACAAAACGTCATTTTTGTTGCCATATCTCTCTGGTAGTGAGACTCTTCCTTCGGTTGCTGCTGACCCCTAGCGGTCGTAACAAGTGCACAAGCCAAAGGGCTTTCTTAGGGTCCATATGGGTCACGAGTGGGTCACAGTTCACCTTTCAAAGCGGACAGGCATTGTGAGGACATCATCTTCTAGTTTCGGGATCTCTGGCTGATCCCCGTTGGTCTGTAGGGCAGCTTTCCTAGCTTTCAGCTCAGCGTCGGTCTTCATGTAGAAGTCAGTCAATCCAAACACCTCACTGCAAAACACACACACACAAAAAAAAAAACATTATTTATGTGTGTGTAGATGTATGTATATATATACTATATATATTAGGGGTGTAACGATACACGTATTCATATTGAACCGTTCGGTACAAAGCTTTCGGTTCGGTACGCATTACAAACCGAACGATTTGTTGGACCATTTTACTTGCAGACCAAAATTTAGTTAGCAGTTGCGCTGGCGCTACCATTACAACCTTACCCAACATCAACTGGCAGACGCAATGAAAGCGGAACGAAACTGCGCTACTCATTTGTGCTTAACGGACCGTTATGAGTTTGGACCAGCAACATCAGTGCAGCGCGAGCCGATCGTGATCAAGCCACACTGTCACTACACAGCGCTGAGAGATCCAGTGAAGAAAGCATTTGAATTCGCCACAGGAGTAATAACATCGCTGCGAGGTCTAGTGAGAAGCATTCACATTTCTCCGTTATTAACCGTAGATCTCTATTAGATCAAACAGCGCTGACGTGGACACCGGGAGAAACAGTGTGCCGTGAATGAACTACAGTAGTTGAGCAACATTCACCATGGACTTACTGAAGTAACACTCACTGTAACCATGATGGAAGCTTGGCAGGAATATTATTTGTTCATCCTTCCCAGATAACCCCCATTTATAAAACTAAAAGTTTCAAGATGTAGGAAAACTCACACTTATTTAAAAATAAAAAAGACATTAAATTACCCCCAAATACTTATTTTTTTAATCGTTTTGCTTTTGAATTATTTCAACATTATGAATAAAATTGCTGCCCTCAAATGTTAATCTGGAGCCTTGCAAACTGAAAATAAAAATAAAATAAAACTGTTAATAACTACTACAATTTTACATTTCATATTTTTTATAAGGAGCTGTTTTTGTTTTATATGCAGCAAAGAAGACACCCCAGAGATGGGTCAAGTACAGCTCCATCATTGCTCAAATTAAAAAAAGATCATACAGTACATATATATAAACAGAAACTCCACGTGTGAAACGCCGTTACCATATTTCTTCAGTGGTCTGAGCTGCATGCAGCCGTTTCCCTAATGGAGACTCGACTCGGTCTCTGAGCATCTGACATAAGCAGTATTTGGTGTTGAACGGGTTATTGTCATAGCGAACAGCCTGTTAGAAAACAGAAGAAAAAGAGATCATTAAGACTCAGAAACAACAGTTGAAGAGTTTGGTTCCAAAACGCGATAAATGCCTTTTTTTTAATATATATTTACTGCAAAAATCAGTCTTGTATCTGGTTGGTATTGAAAAGTCAATGTTTAATTTTAAGTAAAAGATATCCGCCGTGTTATTCTGTCATGTTTTCTCCCTTTCTTTCCAAACCGCGACAAACGCCAAAACTTCTCTGCAGAAGGCGATATATCCGCTCTCAACCAATCACAGCGCACCATTCCACTGTCAACCAATCAAAACGCAGCATTCCACGCAATGTAAACGGTAACGGCAGCGCCTCAAATACACCCGGCTTCCTAGTTTTTCTCATCTATTTTGTACTTTTCGATCAACAAACAAACAAAAAAATGAATAATTTTGATGGCATTGATGAACCTGTGGTTGTTTCTGCGGTGGGTAAGAAACCTAAGGCATCGAAATCGAATCATTTACGTGAGGAGATTAAGAAGATGAGGCACTCGGGAGGAGGAAAAATGTTTTCAGTCTTCTTTACAGTTCTTAATAAAAATATTATACTAATAAACTTACGTTGTTGTGTATTTTCAACAGTTTCAATATGAAAAAAACAAACTTTTATATTGATTCAATGGATTAATTGCATGATTTATTGCAAATTGGGGCAAAAAATAATCCGTTTTTATAATAAATCTTTGAAAATCAAAACCTGGATTTAATTTTTTTTGTTTTGTTATTATGACCTACAAATGCTATGTGAAAGTTTGAAACAGAAAACAGTGGTTTTCATCTTTCCACTTTCTTGGTAAAGAAAACACATTTTTACTCAAATTAATCTAAATGGATTTATTGTGTTTTGGAACCAAACTCTTCAGTTTTACTATCATTTATTTCCATTAGTGTTAGGAAGACACATCTGGGTATGTTCATGGAAGACTAATTTACCATTTCAGTCATCGGATACATTTACTTTTAAAGGGCTTTTATTATGCATTCAATTAATTATCATACTATATTATTGAATGCATTTAATTTGATTATTTTTCATTTTATGTTTAATGAAATGTTGCACAACTTTATTATCCCTGTCCACAATAATTTTTTTCTTACTTACAAATATTTATTGTCATGAGTTTACACATGTATTTGTGGTTTAAATAATTGATGACCGCATGTTGTCCCGCTTACGTATTTGATGTACTCCTCCATGACCCGCTCGAGAGACAGCGCCCCCTGCGGGCGGAAGACTGAAGGGTTCCACATGGCGGCTCGCGCGATCATGACCGATGACGCTCCTGTGGCCGCCCGAAACGTCTCGATGTCCTCAAAGCTCTTCACCATATCTGAAGAGCCGCCACTACACACACACAAATCATGACAACACAAGGATCACAACAGAAACCAGTGATACCAACTGTATATGTAAACAAGATTCAAAAAGACAGTTTCCATTTCACGAATACTTTAAGTGTAATGTAGGGTAAAGCCTGACTTGGCAATGACCGGTATGGACACGCTCTCAGCGACGGCCTGTATATAATCACAGTGGACCGGGTGCCGCGGGCGCTCCTCTTTCATCCTGACAACAACACAAGATCAGATATAAAGATGCTCTATATTCATATCTATATCAGAAAACACGTTTAGCGACCGCTTCTCACCTGCCATGCACGGCTATGGCCGCCACTCCTGTTTTTTCAATTCTCTTCACTAAATTAACCGTGTCCTCAAGCTGAAAGAGCACATTACATCACGCAACCATTAATTACAGGAACAGTGAATATGCTGTTTTATATCAGGGTTTCTTAGCTTTTACACAAATTATACAGCAAAAAACACAGAAAAGCGCCACTTGCCGTAGGAAGGATTCTGATTTTACATGTAACGGGTTTTGAGATTCCATTCACAAGAGAGCTCAGAATCTAAAACACAAGACGTTTAAAAAAGAAAACGTTGATAATACTTATCAAACTGATATAGTAAGAAGAAGAAAAACTAAGAAAACTTACAGCTTCGATTTTCTCAGGGTCAGAGAGAAGTGCCGAACCCATTCCTCCCTGTGTGAGATCGATGAGAAACGTGTTTAACAGCAGCAGAAATAAATGACGAGAATCATATAAAATGTGTACATTATAACACAACACAAGCAATAGTCTGAGAGCACAAATGCAGATGCTTCCATCACTATGTTTTCTAATTTCATTCTTTTGTGTTATTACAAATTAAGTTATCATCATAACATTAAAGAGCTGTAGGGATGATGTATTTTTGTTGGTAAAAACACAGAAACCAGTTGCATTTTAGCACTTCCATCATCCTGGAGTCAATGGGTTTTTGGTTAAAAAATGGTCTGTTGTGAATACAAGCTCAAGATATGTTCACCTTTTATTCTACAACATAAAGTGAATCAGTAAAACCCTCTTGTGATTTTTTTTAAGCTTTTACTTGTCTTGTAAAAGGCGGTTGCTAACAAGTGTCTAAATGGGACAATAAAGGTTGTCGGGGAGATTAAACTTTAACTCATCAATCACTAGATGCTTTCACAGCCTTGTTGTGTTTATAATGAAACTATTATACCTCAGACTTTCATGGAAAATGTTTTAAACAAAGACTGAAAGAGTTGTCAGAAGCTCAGTGATGGTGACGTTGAAGTCATGTGACCGTGTTTGTTTTTTAGTTTCTAGTGTTCAATTGAAAAGATTATCAAGATGAACAGAACGTGAAAGAATCACAAGCTTGTGTTGGTCACAGACCTTATTTTCTGCAATAATCCACACGCCAATGGAAAAATACTGCTGGGGTTTGTCGAAGGAATCAGTCTAATGTGAACGTCCGGCTCGGCCTACAAACACACGTCATCCCTGCAGAGCTCTATATCAGTGGGAAGTTACACTGAAAGCCTAACATGGATTTCCCCAGAGTTATCCAGCGTGATTTAACTTAAATGTTCCAAAAATGAAAGTAAAAACATTATTTTGTTAACATTAAAGGCACAATATGTAGGATTTTTTCACCACCAGAGGGCGCAGTTTCCAACAATAACACAGGCGTAGGTTGATGACGAAGTGATGAGCTGAATGATGGGACTTGCTGTCAAGCTGATGGATCTAATGTTTATGGATGAGGGCAAACATTCATGTTTTTTAACATTACAGTGGTGTGAAGCAGGTCGCGATTGCTAAAGAGACAGATATCACACGCGAGTCCCGCGGATATAAAGACATTTAATTCTAACGAACTACCAGCAAGTGCTGGATTACTCACACAGGTCGGTTTATTAGACGAATTAAACTTGTGAGGTAACGCAGCGCTGCTTCACTCGGTCTAACGTTACACTATCACACTAAACGGCATTTAAATGTGTGTTGAAAGTTATAATGTTACACTACGTGTTAGTTCGTTTGCTATACGAAACTAGCAGTAAGCTAGATCAACATTAGAATAACATACTGACCATATTCTAACATTTCATCATGTTGAGCTAACGTTATATAGCATTGATTTGTTTTATGTACATCTGCTCACCTGTCTAATAAAGCTGTCGAGTCCGAGTTAGTCGCGGACGCTAGCTCTCGGCATCTCAAAAATGCCACGCTGATGTTGATCCTCATTTTAGTTCTCCTTGTTTGTCTCAAAGTCTGCTTGCCATGGTCTATATTTGAAAGAAACGAGAACTGCGTGCCGCTAAACGTTACGCACTACGCAGTTGTCCGCGTCTGTCGCCATGGTTACGCCATGGCTATAGCAGTACGAGCGGAAACCGAGGATAGCGCGGATATTGCGTCATTGACAGGCGACATTTTTTTTCCGGGACGGCCACTTATTTAAAATGTGAATTTCTCTGAAATAAAAAAATCTTTGGAGTCTTTTGGGATATTGTAAGTACACAACTGCAGGAAATATATCACACTGTGCAAGTGATTTTTGGATATTGTATTACAAAATTCTTACATATTGTACCTTTAAGGGAGTTTACCAAGACTATATTTCTTTTTTATTTTAAGTGACAATGTTCCTTTGTTTTTCAAAATCCTATTTTGTTTGTTTGTTTCTAGTTTTAAATATGATTTGCATTCCAGCTCTTCAATGTGGCCTCAGACCGTGTGTTTGACACCGGAGCAACCCGTACCTTCGTGGAGTATTCCTTGGGACAGCCCATATTCACATCGACGGCCGCCACATCGCTCTCCCTGTTCAGGGAGAAAACAGCCACATTAGACACAAGTTCATATGTGATGATAAGTTAGAGGAACACGGTGTAATACTTAGTCTACTTTGAATATCCCTTATGCTGTGCTGAAAACCCTGTAACACAAATACAAAACCTGACCTAATTGAAAGAAAGCAAGTTGATAAATGTATTGAATCCAATATGTGGTGATAATTTAACATGAGCGATTTTCAGTAGGCCAGTGGAAGAGTAACAAGGTGGAGAAAAGAGAAATTATCCCAAAAATGTGGGAAGTGCTTATACCCTGTGTGAGTGAAGTCAGTAAGTTTAAGTCCAATGCGATAACATTTTTGGGAGAAAGAAAATCTCCTCAGGTCAAAATGACCAGAACACAACACAAGGGATATATGAAGAGTTTGGTTCCAAAACGCAATAAATCCATTTAGATTAATTTGAGTAAAAGTGTGTTTTCTTTACCAAGAAAGTGGAAAGATGAAAACCACTATTTTCTGTTTCAAACTTTCACATAGCATTTGTAGGTCATAATAACAAAAAAAATTAAAATCCAGGTTTTGATTTTCAAAGATTTATTATAAAAACGGATTATTTTTTCCCCCAAAATGCAATAAATCCATTTTTTTTTTTAAATCAAAATGCAATTAATCCATTGAATCAATATAAAAGTTTTTTTTTCATATTGAAACTGTTGAAAATACACAACAACGTAAGTTTATTAGTAGAATGTTTTTATTAAGAACTGTAAAGAAGATTGAAAACATTTTTCCTCCTCCCGAGTGCCTCATCTTCTTAATCTCCTCACGTAAATGATTTGATTTCGATGCCTTACGTTTCTTACAACCACAGGTTCATCAATGCCATCAAAATTATTCATTTTTTTGTTTGTTTGTTGATCGAAAAGTACAAAATAGATAAGAAAAACTAGGAAGCCGGGTGTATTTAAGGCGCTGCCGTTACTGTTTACATTGCGTGGAATGGTGCGTTGTGATTGGTTGAGAGTGGAATGGTGCGTTGTGATTGGTTGAGAGTGGAATGGTGCGTTGTGATTGGTTGAGAGCGGATATATCGCATTCTGCAGAGAAGGGAGACTGGCGTTTTGCGGTTTGGAAAGAAAGGGAGAAAACATGACAGAATAACATGGCGGATATCGCATTTTACTTCAGGGTATATGCAGGAATCTTGAAGTTAATTTTAATACCTTTTCAAGACTTTTTCAAGACCTTCTCAATATTTTTTAATACCTCGCTGCCACTTCAAGCTGTAACCATTTACATCAGTGATACTTTTAACTTAACAGTTTTAGTTTGTGATAAAGACTATAGACCACTCTGATAAAAAAATAAAATAAAATAGGCTGGGATAGTAAATCAAAGCAAAGTTTATTAAAAAACGAAACAAAACTTTGCTCCACCCTCAACAACAATCATGCTGACATGTGCCTCAGTTCTTCGTTTTGAAAAAAAAAAAAAAAAATCTAAATTCACACACTTTTACGATGTTTTTGGGACTCAAACTGTTGGACAGCTAATTCAGAAAAAATTAGGGATGCACCGAAATGAAAATTCTTGGCCGAAACCGAAAAAAGAGGAACCCAAGGCCGAAAAAACGAAAACCGAAACACCGAAAGAAATTATGCCAATTATAAGTACCATTGCATTTATGGTTATGACTGTGTACAAACTTTACTAAAATCAAGGCATTGCAATTGCATAAATTAACATTTTCAAAGAATAAATCAATTACAAATTATGCAAATATTTATTTAGCACAATGCACAGTATAAAATAAAATTCAAACTAAAATGTTTAACTTGACCCCACTCATGTGTACATTAAATAATAATCTGCTGGCCTGCAGAAAGGTTTTAAAATGGAATGTTCTCTCATAAAAACAAAGCCGAGCACGAACTTCTCATCACACCAGCACCCAGTTTGCACGTCTAAATTAGTTGATAACATTTTAAAAATGAGCATACACTAGCATAAAAAGCCATTTTAATGAACAAAGGTCCATGTTTAATACAAATGTACACGAAACTTAATGAAATATGTTTAGTGAAATTAGAAAATATTTAAGAGAGCGTTAATTTAGAACATATTCCAGTACATATTTTGTTGTAATGTCACAAGTAATAATCTCAGGGTTTACTGGGTTTTACATGATTATTTTTGTATTGGTGGTGGTACTAAAACATAAACATTGTCACGTGTTTATCTTTCTTCTTCTCACCGATTCCTGATGGTTAGAGGACAGTTACTTGAGTCGTCCCCTGTCGTTTCAAAGAATAGTACAACGGCGAGCGCGTCAAGTATAAACGCCTCGCTCGACCGTTTGGAGCGGTGCGCGCGCTGTCTGTGGAGACGCGCGCTGCGGAGGCAGGCGAAAGTATAAACAAGGCTTCCGTCTCCTCGCGGGTTCAGATATACTGAAATACGTCCACACCGCAGACATGTTGCTTCAGACAAGCACGTGCAGGTCGCGGTTTCGGTTTGCGTCATCACAACATTTCGTTTCGGTGATAAAAGTCTTTCGGCCGAAAACCGAAAATGCACTTTTGGGCTATTTTCGGCGGCCGAATATTCGGTGCATCCCTAGAAAAAATACTTTCAAAATTTAAGACTTTATAAAGCCGTGATAAGACTTTTTAATACTTTTTAAGGGTCTTAATTTTCCCAAAATTGATTTATCACCTTTTAATACTTTTCAAGACCCCGCGGATACCCTGTACTTAAAATTAAACATTGACTTTTCAATACCAACCAGATACAATACTGATTTTTGTAGTAACTAATTTTTTTTAGAAATGGCGTTTATCGCGTTTTGGAACCAAACTCTTCATATGATAACAACAGAAAGAAATAATAATCAAATGAATCCAACTCACACAAGCTTAGCCACAGCCAGGGCTCTCTCTGGATCAGCCGTCCCCTGAAACACAAGCATATCAGATTTTATTCTAAAAACAATAATATTGCGTTCAGGAAATATTAAAGGATTAGTTCACTTCAGAATTAAACTTTCCTGATAATTTACTCCTCCCAGGTCATCCAAGATGTTCATGTCTTTCTTTCTTCAGTGGAAGAGAAATGAAGATTTTTGAGGAAAGCGTTCCAGGATGTTTCTCCATATAGTGACTTCAATGGGGTCCAACAGGTCGAAGGTCCAGGTGTGAGTTTCAGTGCAGCTTCAAAGTCTCGACACGATCCAGCCGAGAAATAAGAGTCTCATCAACTTGTAATGGAGTAATTGTCGCTGTAAAGTATCTGTAGTTTTACTCAAGTATAGTTTTCAGGTACTCTTTACGCTCTACCCTACATTTCTGAACCGGAACACGCGTGATCTTTCAACGTGATCGCGTAATGTGTGTCGCGTCACAGCTAGTGCAAGACGAGCATTAGTGGTTAAAGTATATAAATGTTTTTTTTTTTTTGAAAATATCCGATCGTTTCGCTAGATAAGCCTCTTATTCCTCGGCTGGATCGTGTCGAGACTTTGAAGCTGCACTGAAACTCACATCTGGACCTTCGACCCGTTGGACCCCATTGAAGTCACTATATGGAGAAACATCCTGGAACGCTTTCCTCAAAAACCTTCATTTCTTTTCGACTGAAGAAAGAAAGACATGAACATCTTGGATGACGTGGGGAGAATAAATTATCAGGAAAGTTTAATCCTGAAGTGAACCACTCCTTTAAGTTGAGGAAGCTGGCACACTGACCATCTGAAAGACCACGCGGCTCTTCTCTTTACTGCAGGTGCGAAACATCACACGCTCATCTGGAGCAACGAAATCCACCGTCTCCAGAACATCTGTAGACACATTTATTAACATGCTAAATTGTTCCCTAAAACAGACCAGAACTTTAAAAATCATATTTTGTGAACCCATTTTACATACTGCATGTTATATAATATCCCCGGACATCTGATATGACCAACAGAAACAGACGTACCGTTTACTACTCTCTCACACTGGGCCATTTTGATGTCAATCAGCTCCTGAAATATCAAAGGGCCATAACTCCATTTTAATAATATTGCAGTGCAAATACTTTAGATTCAATCGAGTCAAGACTTAGATGTGACATGCACAGGTGTAAATGCTCGTCCTCACCTCACAGTACACAATATCTGCTCCACAGTCCAGTGCCAGCAGTCTCATGGGAAGAGTGCCCACCCGAACCATAGGGGCCAGAACAGCCTTCCCCTCAAAACACAGCCTGTCCCCCATCTTCATCATCCTCCTCCTCATCCGCCCAACAGCTACACACACACACACAGTTAGCTTGCTCATCAGTGCGGATGTAAACAGTGAGATTAAGTATCTTCTAAAGTCCGTGTATCATTATCTATTATTATTATCAAACATCATTGTGTAACTATCAGATCAAAACATTTAAATGATCACATAATTAGTTTCAGTAATATATTATTAATATAGCCAAAAATGTTCGATATTCTGATTACACATATAAAAGAGCGACTGTGCCATTATAGTTACAGTTATATTATCCCCATGTTGTAGATATTTACATGATTCCAGCGCTGAACTTCCAAGTATCAAACTCAACTTGAGTCAACATTACAGCTGCGGTGAACACGCGTGCACTGCGCTCGCTTCCGGTGCTGATGACGCCATCGCCGCGCGACGGGCAGTTCTGAGAAAACCGTAGAATTAATGCCCTGTCCAGTCTTTGCACTTGACTTGACCACTTGTCTACTTGTATGACTTATTTCCTCTATTTTTGGCCCAAGTTGGTGTGAAAGACTGTGTGTAAAGAAATTCTAATTACCCGATGTGACTTGTAACGTTAGTGTTGCAAAAAATGCAAGTGTTTACAGAGCTATTATTTATTATATTTTTAATACATTGCATTTTAAAATAAACTTCTAAATGTCTGTCCAGTAGTCGCCATAAATAGCAGAAGCCATGATTTAAAAATGGTAGTGCTTTAAGCGATAAAAACAGTTGCAAATGTTGTACAAAATGCACATACCCTACTCTCATCTTTGCACCAATAAAACGTGCAACACTAACTTACAACAAAATCACGGTAAAAAAAAAAAAAAAAGTTTTTAATTAAATTACAGTGGATTGTTTTCCTCGACATCTCGCGACTTCGGGGCACATAGTTCCCGATGCATGATGGGATTCGCTAAGCCTCGAGTAGGGGGAGGCTGCAGACCTGGAGCGAAATAACATTATTAAATCGACGCTTAATAACCCGTCCATAGACTTGACAATTTTGTGTTTTTTTGTTAATTTAAATATAAACGTTATAGTGTAGATCTGCACGGATTAAATTATCTGTTTCACAAAAAAAACAAGGGGGGTAAACGGACATCAAAAGAGATTGAATTAGGTTACACAAATCAATGCAATATTACATTTTGTCAATATAAAAACATGTAAGGTTCTTTACAACAGACTCAATGACAGGGCCGTGCACAGGGGTGGCCCGGTGGCTAGAGCCACTGCCCGTCTGCCCTCATCAGCTGAGGTGCCCCTCTCGCCCCCCTCCCTAACCCTCCAGAGGATTTCCATAAAAACGTTATGTTATCGCTCCAGAATTTTCGCACGTTAAAAAATAAATACGACCTCACGTTACGTCAATCACACTTGCACACTGCCTCCGAAACTTTCGTCCGTCATAAAAAAAATCTAATCGGGTAAAAATCGAATCGAACCGTAGCCAGCAGTTTGAATGGTGTTTTGACAATTCAGAGCCAACGAATCACGAATACGAAAAAACGCAGTGTGCAATGGCCTTTATTCGGTATTTTTTTCTGTGCGTGCACAGCACACACACACACACACACAACCAGACGCGTGCAGCACATAGCAGCGCGCAAGGACTGAACTGAGCTCTCTTTCGCGTCTGAATGGACAAATACACACATCATTATGTCTAAATGTCCGTTTTGGAGATTATTCACTTAAACGCAGTCAGTTATGTCTTTACAGAATGTACAGTTGTGAGAATATCGGATGTGCATCAGTGCAATTGGATCTGCACACTCGGTCTTAAAGTGACAGTGCGTAATAAACCTAATGCCGTCTGTGCATTTAATATTAATCAAACAACAAAATAAAAAGAGAAAAGCATTCACTGCTCTTTAATAGCTTTAATAAGGATTAATTATATTTAATTCATACAAATAAATATGTCTGCTTGAAAGAATAAAGAATGATGTATGTAAGACTTTAATTTTAAGATATTATTTTATGTCACAGTGCTAAATATGTGTCTGTATTGCATGTTCAAACTTTAAAAATTATTAATATTATCAGGTTAATAGGTGTTTTCTACGGGAATATATAATGGGTTTGGACGTTTTAGAGAAATTCTAAATTAATGCATTACAATTTAACACTAAACCCATTAAATTTTAGTCGACTAAATCTACTGTAGATTTCGTCGACTAAAACTAAAACAATTCAGATGACTAAAATATGACTAAAACTAAATGGCATTTTAGTCAAAAGACTAAGACTAGATCAAAATTTGCTGTCAAAATTAACACTGATCTAAATGAATAGTACCTTAGTATATTAGCTACTTTAGGTTACAATGGGGCTGAAGGCACACCCTAACATTTGCTTTTCACATATGATTGCAGAAAAATATATGTTTGAAAATTGATGGAGCAACAGATTTTGTGTGAAAATAAATCATAAAGGTGGTTTGTTAGGTTAAAAATCGTATTAATGTATGAGGTGAGGTATAGCCTACACACGGGGTAAAACCAGCACAAAAGACACATAGTATTGATACAAATACTTTAGCTAAATAAATATACTTTTAATAATCCCTAAGTTGATAGTTTATAGGTCAAACTCAAAATGGGGGGGGGGGGGGGGGTGGGGGGTGTCACCATCGTGTATGTTGTCAGTCAAACTCCTTATAGTGCCCCCTTTTTTGGTTTAAGCCACTGCCCTTCAAAATGTCTGTGCACGGCCCTGCTCAATGATATTATTTGTTTTATAAACCTTTGAGTTTAAAGGTTCTGACATTTTCTTAAAGGAAGAAAAAAATGAACTTTATATCAGAGGAGAATATTCTAGAATCAGGATTACTTTGAATGGTTCTGTCTTTATGAAGATGAAACTTGCCCAGAAGACAAAGTAATAATACCGTATAAGCAAGTTTAACATCGTTAGGGTTAAAATCTGACAAAAATAGATTCTGTCATTTGTATGTTAAATAATCTGCTAAAGTTATTGTTTTTTAGCAATGCAACATTTATTATTTATAAACGATTAGCTCGATAGAGCTAGGGTAGGTAGATATCAATTCATTTATATATCAATGGATGGGTCTATAATGTATTTTGACAGGTTTCTGTTCTATCTGGCTTAAACTTTGCTAACCACGTGTAGGTTTAGCTTCCCCTATCTTCTCTACTCAATTTAAAATTTTAATTTTAATTTTCTTTTGTTGCCTGTCTTTAGCTTGGCCTCTTCTGGTAAGACTCTGTTTACTCCTTGCATTAAAACATACTCCACATGGTTTATAAAGCAATATTACAGTAGATAATGGAGATATGTTAATTTGTTTTACAGTCTATGTGAACACACAAAAGACACATTTATAATAGGTATGTAAATCTCTCTCTCTCTCTCTAAGTAGAGTTAAACTGCACACTCACTCAAATACGTTAAAACACATTAAAAACTTTCCCCATATGGTTTGAATGTAGATTCTGGTTTGAGTTGTTTCTTATAAATGAGATGATCTAATTATCTCATTTATATCTTAATATAATTTTTTTCTTAAAATAGCTTACTGATCTGGACTCAAATGTAGGGTATGTGCACTTAATGTGGGTTTTATCATACTCTGTCTTTACCAAGGTCTCTTTAACTTGGATCTCATAAAGGTGTGTTTGCTTTAGCTACTTAAAGAAACACACACACACACACACACACACACACAGGGACAAGGTCAAATTCACCATGGATGTCCTTTTTAAACTTTTTTTAATGTTTCATTTTTTAATGTTTCATCAGTGAGCAGGAGCAGTTAAAGAAAAAAAAAAAACAGTTAAAGAAGAGTGGCAAACCATAGGGGAGTCATCATAATTCATAAATGGTGTTAATAAATATTTTTTTGTGAACAACAATATTGTCTATATCTTCTAAATGGCCCATGGAATTTTAGAAAAGGGATAAATTGTGTTTGTCTTCATATAAAATGCTGTGTAGGACACTGTTTTGTAGCTGTATGATGACCAATAGAATAGTACAGCAGATATTTCATCGAGGATCCATATTATTACACGGTACTGCATGTCTAATGGGCTAAATATAGTTAATATCTAAATGTGACTTTATATAAATTCACAAAAACATATTTCACTCAGTCTCCTGTATAAAAAGACCTACGGTGAATTGGCCTATAACTGCAGTAGGTCATAGCATCACCTGTCATAACACATAGTTGATCCAACTATGCGTATTTTTAATTTTTCAATTCACAAAAACAAATAGTCTTCTGTAGGTTGAGTGAAGAGAGTGAAGCCCAACTGAATATCTACAGAAAATTGAATCTGTGGAGATCTACACTGTAACGTTTATATTTAAATTAACAAAAAACACAAAATTGTCAAGTCTATGGACGGGATTTTAATGTGTAAGCGTCGATTTAATGATGTTATTTCGCAGTATATCCCTCTACTGGACGCATCAGGAACAACAGGGTCCTAAAACTGCCGGGGCGTAAAACTGCCAGGGGCGTATATCTGCCGGCTCCAGGTCTGCAGCCTCCCCATATAGCGAATAACCGAAGCGGATTTAATTATTATTAGCGGCAAAAAATTCAATTCAAAATATAAATCACGGCTGATTTTAAAGTTTGAACAAACATTTTCAAATAATGCCACCCATGTTAGTTGTCCAGTTCTGTTTGTGTGTAAGAATATAACATATTGTCAAACAGACTTGCACGCACCGAGAACGTTTGGTGTGCCAGATGACTAAACGAGCATTCAACCAAATCAAATGCTAATTAATTAAAATGTGAACATTTATATTCTAAAAAACAAACACACACACAATCTTCAAGAGGCGTATTTCCCCTTCGTCACACGGAGGCGCCGTGGCTTAGTTGGTTAAAGCGCCTGTCTAGTAAACAGGAGATCCTGGGTTCGAATCCCAGCGGGGCCTTTTATCAGCTCATCATTTTTTTCACCAGCTAAAACTGATTTGTCTTGTACAATATGACACTACGCATCAAGTTAACTGCTAACTAATTACACTCATTCCCTGGCAGAAAGGCAAACGTTTGCAAAACTGTCTAGGTTTTCTTCTTCTTCAAGGTTTCTATAGATGTAGCAGCTTCTATCAGTATCAGATATGTAAATTGTAGAAGTCTTTGTATCTTATTGACAAGTTAATTTGATCCGTTTGCAGTGTGCTTTTACCAGTCACTGGATTATTAGTAGCCCCAATTGAATCTTCTAAACATTAAAAGTTAGAGTATAGAGTACTGAAATGGTTTTGTTATTAACAAGAGGGTTTTTCCAACCTAGGAAAGGCATGGAGTGAAACAACAGATTCTAATCAATCTATTCTTAATGGTTTCTCTCCATATTTCAGTAAAAATCTCTAGATAACAACAACATAAATTTACCTGAGAAGCAAAATAGCGAAAGAGTTAGATGTATTATTTGTATTTACATCTTGTATATACACTTGTATTGTTTTATTTCTTATTTTCTAACAGCATTTTCCCCAGGATGACTGAAAAGTTCTTCACCAACAGTGAAAACAAGAAGAAGAAAGGAGAATATAAATTTCAATCCCTTGTCAATCATTTTAAGCAATTAATTCTGAAATCACATATTCTGTAAGAATAAGAAAATATGCCTGCAAGTAACAATATCATTTCAGACTAAAGACCAAAATTGTGAAGAGTTAGAAACCATTTAAATGTATTTACAGCGAGGCGTACAGAGCCTGTAGAAACTGTTATGTGGTTGGAGAGACATCACAGGTGAAGGACATCATACAAAAGAGAGGAGAGATTCTGTACATGTATCAACATAGGACATTTGCAAATGACCCCAGTAGCACATTATAGGGGTTTCAAACAGTAGAAATAACATGCCTAACCAAAAAGTGAGCAATACCCAGTGCCACTTAAACTCATGACACACACAAATACAGTCCCCATCGAAATAAATGAGGCGGTTATTCTTTCATTTCTTTTTTTTGCTACTACTACAAGCCTGGAAACTGGACTTTAGGTGAAGAGCTGCCAAATTAAAGTAATAGAAAATTCACAGAGGTCCAGAAGCTTTGCTTGTGAAGGAGGATTTGTCAGTCCATTCTGCCATGTCAATTGGATCAAATTGTGGGAAAACAACAAAAAACACTCTTTGTCCCAGGTACGTAGCCCACTCTGTTATAGAAAAAGACAATATATGCACACATTTAGTTCATAAATACATTCATAATTGCATGGTAGTCATTAATACACAATTTAATGGAATAATTCAATTCACCCAAAAATGAAAATGCTGTCATCATTTACATTCCATATTCCATACGACTTGTGCAACATATTCCAAATATTGTGTTTTACATTTGTGTAAGGAACATATATAATTTTCATAATAAGTTTTCTTTTTAAAGGTATGCTAAGGTGGACTTTTTTTTCACAAAGGTGCTTACAAAAAGACTTGAAATGTAGTGCATGAGTCACATGGACTAGTGTATAACTACGGTGGCTGAGAGAGCTCTATGCACTGCAACTGAAGAAAACTCATGCAAACACCAGCAAATTATGAACACATCTTCATCAGTTTCACAACACATGTGCTGCAAATACTCACAACACAACCACATGCAGAAATACAATGCACACACGATCAGGATGTTAAAATAAACAAAAAACTCACCTTTCAGGTCATCGACAACATCAATGGTAACACTGTATTGTATGGTCTAATTCTCACAATGAACTAGTTGCTTATTATTAGCATGCATATAACTAATATTGTCTGACTAGTACTTATAAAGCACATACTAATGCCTTATTCTCCATGACCATATTCTATATGCCTTAATCTTAACCAATACCCAAACTTAACAACTTCCTTACAAACTATTAATAAGCAGTAATTAGAAGTGTGTTTAGGCTAACGTCATAGGTAATAGTTAGTTAATAGTGAGAATTGGACCCTAAACTAAAGTGTGCCCACACCGCTGATGAACACTGAACAGTAAGCATGTCCCAGGCCAGCCAGGATCGTCACTGGTGCCCCTTCAAACATTTGCCTGCTATTTGCAGCATTTTTCTGTAATTGGATGCATTGTGAGTATTTGCAGTGGGTTTCTGTAATTGGTTGCGTCATGAGTATTTGCAGTGTGTTTCTGTAATTGGTTGTGTTGTGAGTATTTGCAGTGGGTTTCTGTAATTGGTTGTGTTGTGAGTATTTGCAGTGGGTTTCTGTAATTGGTTGTGTCGTGAGTATTTGCAGTGGGTTTCTGTAATTGGTTGTGTTGTGAGTATTTGCAGTGGGTTTCTGTAATTGGTTGTGTTGTGAGTATTTGCAGTGGGTTTCTGTAATTGGTTGCGTTGTGAGTATTTCCAGTGGGTTTCTGTAATTGGTTGTGTTGTGAGTATTTGCAGTGGGTTTCTGTAATTGGTTGTGTCGTGAGTATTTGCAGTGGGTTTCTGTAATTGGTTGTGTCGTGAGTATTTGCAATGTGTTTCTGTAATTGGTTGTGTTGTGAGTATTTGCAGTAGGTTTCTGTAATTGGTTGTGTTGTGAGTATTTGCAGTGGGTTTCTGTAATTGGTTGTGTCGTGAGTATTTGCAGTGGGTTTCTGTAATTGGTTGTGTTGTGAGTATTTGCAGTGGGTTTCTGTAATTGGTTGCGTTGTGATTATTTGCAGTGCATTTCTGTAATTGGTTGTGTTGTGAGTATTTGCAGTGGGTTTCTGTAATTGGTTGTGTTGTGACTATTTGCAGTGCATTTCTGTAATTGGTTGCGTTGTGAGTATTTGCAGTGGGTTTCTGTAATTGGTTGTGTTGTGACTATTTGCAGTGGGTTTCTGTAATTGGTTGCGTTGTGAGTATTTGCAGTGGGTTTCTGTAATTGGTTGCGTTGTGAGTATTTGCAGTGGGTTTCTGTAATTGGTTGCGTTGTGAGTATTTGCGGTGCGTTTCTGTAATTGGTTGCGTTGTGAGTATTTGCAGTGCGTTTCTGTAATTGGTTGTGTTGTGAGTATTTGCATTGCGTTTCTGTAATTGGTTGTGTTGTGAGTATTTGCAGGGCGTTTCTGTAATTGGTTGCGTTGTGAGTATTTGCAGTGCGTTTCTGTAATTGGTTGCGTTGTGAGTATTTGCAGTGCGTTTCTGTAATTGGTTGTGTTGTGAGTATTTGCAGTGGGTTTCTGTAATTGGTTGTGTTGTGAGTATTTGCAGTGCGTTTCTGTAATTGGTTGCGTTGTGAGTATTTGCAGTGCGTTTCTGTAATTGGTTGCATTGTGAGTATTTGCAGTGTGTTCCTGTATTTGGTTGTGTTGTGAGTATTTGCAGTGTGTTTCTGTAATTGGTTGCGTTGTGAGTATTTGCAGTGGGTTTCTGTAATTGGTTGCGTTGTGAGTATTTGCAGTGCGTTTCTGTAATTGGTTGCGTTGTGAGTATTTGCAGTGCGTTTCTGTAATTGGTTTTGTTGTGAGTATTTGCAGTGGGTTTCTGTAATTGGTTGTGTTGTGAGTATTTGCAGTGGGTTTCTGTATTTGGTTGTGTTGTGAGTATTTGCAGTGTGTTTCTGTAATTGGTTGCGTTGTGAGTATTTGCAGTGGGTTTCTGTAATTGGTTGCGTTGTGAGTATTTGCAGTGCGTTTCTGTATTTGGTTGTGTTGTGAGTATTTGCAGTGGGTTTCTGTAATTGGTTGCGTTGTGAGTATTTGCAGTGCGTTTCTGTAATTGGTTGCGTTGTGAGTATTTGCAGTGCGTTTCTGTAATTGGTTGCATTGTGAGTATTTACAGCACATGTGTTGTCAAAATGATGAAGATGTGTTCATACGGTAATTTGCTAGTGTTTTTTCTATTTGCATATGTTTTCTTCAGTTGCAGAACACTGAACTCTCTTAGCCACTGTTTATAACATGTGTATGGCACTTGTCTGTCCTTTTGGAGCTTGCCACTCTGTACACTGCTGCTGTATGGAAAAGTGCAGCATGAACATCTCATTTTGTTTTTCATGGTAAAAAGGTTTGGAATGGCAAGAGGCTGAGTATTTTTTTTTTCTTACTATTCCTATAGAGAACACAGAATATAAATTGCATATCCAGTCTCCTTACCAATGAAGTCATATATGCATTTTGGCTTGTTTTTCCAGTAAACTCCCAGGAAATAAACCGGTACTCCAGTGAGCATAATGACCAGTCCCACTCCACACACCAGCGGCTCTGAGTGCAAACTGAAGCCCAGTAGCAGAGCCCAGAAGAGCAGATAACACACCGGCACAAGGAGACTCACCTGACAAGAGAACAAACAAAGCTTTGCTATTGGCAGTGAATGCTGAACCTGCTGGATGCACTTATAATGCACAGGCTGTCGAGGGCCGCCAGACTTAACAAATGGGTCGCCAGGGTGATTGAAGGAAAGTTGAGTTACATTAAAAATAAAATAAAAATAACACAATTTGTTTTCATAAAATCATAGACCTATATAAAAAGAATAAATAGCCTACACTAAATATATTTGACTTAAATAATTAACAGATTAACAAAACGAAAGAAAAGAAACCGTGCAACTGTAGGCTATGCTGCTGAGTTTGGTTCATTTTTGTGAGCAGACAAATAGATGGAAAGGAAACCGAGACGACAGTTTGTTTGTTTTCTTTATTTTACAAAAGCACAATGTTTTGTTTTATTGTGAGTTTACACAAATAAAAGTAAACACTTTTCGTTTGCATTTACATCTGCAATACATCTCTGAGATATCAATACAAAGACATCTCCTGTCTTTAAGATATTTATGGTTTAGACTGTATGTAAATCTGCTCGTTCTAAGGCGTTTATCAGATGCATTAACCCTGCAGATGTTTTCCAGATCTCTAGCAGACGTCTTACAGACGTACCTGTGCTATCAGTGTGTCACCGCTCCACTGTGGGTTTTTCAAGCGCATTTTTGCGGATGTGAAGAGGATGATTATTTTCCGTTGATATTGAAACACGAGTGAAGTACAAAGCCTATAATAAATAAAAGTTTAGCACCCAAATACATCGCGGATATGGAAACATTTGGGTTCGAATGAGATAGTTAGGCTACGTACGTGAGCCCAATGCCGGTTACTTTCAATTCCGCTTTAAATGATTTAGTTTTGGCTTGTTTATAGTTACTAACGCTGTATGTTTTCATTCTTGTTCTGTTCAAAATACTGGTACATGTAAGGATTTGTTGTGGAGTGAGGGGAACTAAAATAGCCTATAGCTAAGTTCGTAGTGTAGCGTACGGCCGTCTGTTGGAAGATAGTGATTATAGTTTATAAAGTTATAAATATGGGTATTTTCTGTACACAAGCGCATGGCTTCGCTTCAGAAGGCCTTTATTACCCCTGGAGCCTGTGGAGTATTTTTATCATGCATGGATGCACATTTTTGGGCTTTAAATTTTCTCCAGCCATTCACTCTCATTATAAAGCTTGGAGGAGCCAGGACATTTATTAATATAACTCCGATTGTATTCGTCACAAAGAACAATGTCATACACACCTAGGAGGACTTATAAATCACAGGCTAATTTTCATTTTTGGTTAAACTAACCCTTTAAGGAAAGTGCTGAGCTGAATTTTTGTGCCATCTAGTGGTTTAAATGAGAATAAAGTTAAATGCGCCTTTATCCGCATTGAATACAAGTATTCTTATGCTTGGCTTGACTTGTTTGCGTGTAAATGGTTGTAGGCCTATTTATGGGTCGCGTAAAAAAAAAAAAAAAAGGTCGCTCTTAAAAAAGTTTGTAAACCACTGGTATAATGGACAATTGTGCTTTACTATGTGGCATATAAGTACATGTTATGGATGTAGAATACACACAGGCGTTGTATATAATTGAATACCTTGATGGGCCTGTATAAGTTTGGCTTCTTCCATCTGTAGTAGAGCAGGCCAGCAATAGTGACTCCATAGGAGAGGTAGTTGATGAAAGACACATAGTTTATAAGGTTGTGAGTTTCTCCAATGCACAAGATTACGATTGTGGCAGTGCACTGAAAGATAAGATCAAGAGGCACAACAGAGAAAGAATAATAATTTAAAAAAAGAGTCAATTCAAGTAAATGCAAACAAATTAAAACAAGTTGCATCCCAAAAAGCAGGTTGCTGTAACAAAAACTCATTGTTCTCATATGTAAATCACATACACAGACAAGCAGAGCTGGAATCGGTGTGCAGTGCTTAAAGTGGATCATAGCAAGAAGACTGGGCAAATGTCCTTCCCGTGCCCCTGAAAAACACAACCTGAAACACACACGCAAACAGTAAATGCATAACAAAGAATCACTGTCATAATCGGTACTGCTTTCCAGTAAAAATATTGAAATATCCTTAAAACTAGAATCAATTACTTGAAATGCAAAATTGCGTAAGATACTACTTGATTACAAAATTTTGTGACGTACATTAATTTTTGTGGCGTGTTACAACAACAACAACAACAACAACAATAATATAGCTGCAAGCAGCAATAAAGGGCCCAAACACAGAAAAGGCACAATGAGTTATGCAAGCATGTCTGGGGACATCAGACCAATGACAACAATAAGTAACTAAAGGTATTTTTAGATTATTTTAAGCAAAAACAACAATCATTGATAATATAATTGAATTGCTTATCACTTTTGACCCCCTGGTATCAAACTGATGTGGTGAGGTCAGTATGAGGTGACAATGACACACACAAAGTTTGGTGTCAATATGGCAAAGCAGAATCAGCATGACATCACTCCATCAATTCAAGGTTGGTGAAGCTTTTAATAACTTTTGGCAGGCATGGTCTGAAGATGAAGATGCAAAATTCAAAAAAAAAATTAAATGTATTATACATATGGAAACTTTCCGAAACTTTCCGAGATTCGAAACTATTCTCTATAATGCAAAATTCAAAATGGTCAATGCCCAAAATGGCTGATATGGGAAAATCGGGAATCATTTGACTCAGTATGCTCAGAGACTAAGGACTTTGGTATGCTGCACTGAATTAAAAGAGGCAGTTTCAGAAGTTTATGTAGCAAATATGAGTAAAATAGCCATTTGTTCATTTCTCCAGACAGGGCTACCGTAGACTTCAATAGTGGAAGAAGGAAGAATAATAACGATTACAATAGGTTTCTAAGTACCCGCAGTGCTAATAATAATAATATACAATTTAAAATAACTGTTTTCTATGGAAGCTTGTTTCCGCCACAGAATACAAAATAAACAAGATAATTGCTACTTTTTATCTCACCTTTTTCTCCCCACAATTGCGAGTTTACATGACAGAATTGCGAGATATAAAGTCACAATTGCGTGATATAATCTCAGGATTGTGAGATATAAACTTGCAATTGTGACTTTCTTTCTCAGAATTGCATGTATATATTTTGCAATTCTGACTTTATAACACGCAGTTCTGAGAAATAAAGTCAGAATTGTGAGAGTTAAACTTGCAATTGTGAGATAAAAATTCACAATTATCTTTTTAAATGTTTTATTCTGTGCTGGAAACAAGCGTTCATAGTTTTCTATTATAATATATTTTAACATTTGTATTATTCCTGTGTTCAAAACAGATTTTTTAGCATAATTACATGAATAAGTTACGGAATAGAAAACGGACATATAATTACAATTCTTTCACATTCTTATTTTTTTTTTTGCTGTCTTTTTGACAGCTGTGTATGTTTTTCAACATTCAAAAAAGTATTTTGACCATTTTATCATAAGAATTTATATAAAGCTGCAGTCCGTAGTTTTTTCTCTTTGTCGCCATCTCTGTTCAAAATCTGTAATTGCAGTTATTCAAGGAATTATCAACTTTACGTGGGTTGTACCTCGGCACGGCACAGCGCGGATGAATTCAATGTTTGAGGAGAGTGTGCGGCTGTCAGTCACCGCGCTGGTGTGGATACTGGCATTCAGAATCACAGATTATAGTTTTGGAAGTATGACCAACATAATAATTTTCACCAGAAAATGTCATCTGAACTAGTAACATCAACTTTTGTTCTGACCAACTAAGGGAAAAAAAGCATTGCAGTAAATCGCGCTGATTAAATCTAACAATTGCTTATCATATCACGTCAAACCGTGCAAATTATACTTTGTTCTCAAATTGTTAATGTTAACAACGTCAGCATTGCGTGACTACATGTAATGTCCTTCTGATATTATCCTTGTTGTCGCATGGGCCGGTTGCAGTCTCTCTTTTTTTCTGTAGCCACTCCGAAGTCCGAACGAAGTCTTTTGCATTTTACAGCGGGTGAATCTGTTGTCACTGGTGATTGTCGTTTGAACCTTTCTGGATCCGCCATCAAATTGATAAGTTTAATTATATCAAGTGCTGTGAGAAAAGGCAAAAAAAATCTCCAGCTCCAACATCCTCACACGCAATATAGCCTACTAGCCGAGACTCTTCTTTCTGTGGACAGATGTGTGTACAGATGTGTGTGTACAGATGTGTGTACAGATGTGTGTGTACAGATGTGTGTGTGTACAGATGTGACATAATGACGCAAAGACATGCTCGAATCTCCCGCGGAAATCCACCAGTACCACTGGAATTAAAAACATTATTACAAGCTTACAGTTTTGAATCGAGCTACGGCAAGCAGAGAGTTTTGGACACTGGCTGGTTATGTACTTGCTCAAACATTTATTTTGGATAATTTTTAACCCAAAAAAGTTACGGACTGGAGCTTTAATGTTCTGTTTGCTCAGGAGGTAAATGTAAAGGTGAAATGAAAAAGAAATGCGTTTACCTGGAGGAGGTGAAGAGATAACCATTGATGCCGCCGAAAGTGGAGAGTGCCACAGAGATCGGCATGAGGGTGGAAAACATCCCGAGGAGTTTCTCACCGAAAGTCTAAGGCAAGCGAAACATAAAACACATCATTAACAAGGTTTTGCACACTGATATCACATGTGCCGTCTGTGTTGTTTTTACACCTGCTTTACTAAAGTATTCAAATCAAGCAATGTACAAATGCAGCCACATAATCTGTTAACCACACTTACACAGTGATATTGCCAATTGTGTGGCGTTGTTTCTAAAATAAATCTGACATAAGTATAAGTACTAAGACTACACAGCATCACTCCTCCACCACCATCCAGACACCTGAATCAATGGGTAGCCTACAGTATAAATCCATTGATCCATTATTATCGATAACTAAATCGTCATTAGCCAACTATGGTCACAAGTTCTGTCGTTATCAGCAGTTCAACGAGTCGGTGTTTCCCGAAACTATCGTTCCAACGAACATCCGCAAACAGCATCGCAGAGGTGTGTGTCTGGAACGACAGCTCTCCTGTGGTTAGAAGGACTTAATAAATCCTAATCTTAAATCAAATAAGCAAGCTGACATTCAGCACAATCTGTATCTTTTATTTAGAATACATACAAATGTAATTTACGTCTTTCAGTTTGTCAAGAGATTTAAAACATAGTTTTTGTGCAAACGTGCTTTAGAACGTAACGAGCTTGAGAAAAATTTGAAATAGTCCTCAGATGTCATGTCTACAATTTATAGCAAAATATCTAGCATTAATTCGATCTCAAACAGATTAATTAAAATAAGTTATTACTCCAACACCTGCCTGACATCATTGTTCTAACGTGGTTGAACGACCAATTTGCGACAAAATGCTTTTGGGAAACAGTCGTGACTAGCTAGTTGATTTCTTCAACGATGCGTCGTACTGTGGTCGTGAAGCAGCGAGTTACAGCGCTGTACGGGAAACACACCCCAGAGCAGACTGTAATACTTTTAATCCCATACATAAAAGTGACACAAATGTTTAGTGAATCCATCCTTGAGTGTTAGCAGAGTGTTAATAATCTAATAAGAATAAACCCAGCGAGTCAAAGGCCTGTACTTACAACAGCCACTGCGTTGGAGGACAGCAGCTCATCGGGAGACATGGAGGAAAAATATGCGATGTTTGTGAGAGTGTACACAAACGTCACCAGTGGAATGGAGATGTATATGGCTCGTGGCAGATTCCTGAGGTACACAAACAAATATATTATACCAATACAAATAATATTCACATTGGTATATCCAGCCACAGTGCATGTGTGGATACAGATATTAAGGAGTAGGATTATAGGTAGGATAGTAGGATATTAAGGAATGTATTTAGCCCATTGACAGGAATCAGGTTAGGACAGTGCATTAGCATATCATTAATGTGACTCAAATGAATTATCCTGATAATTATATCAGTTGAACGGCAGGAGTTTCCTCAGAATGAGCCACAATGGTTGTTCCAGCAGAGTTTGTGAGTCCAGGCATGTTTTAAAGTGGTATCAGACTAACCTCCTGGGATCCACCACCTCCTCCGTAACGTAGTTGAGGAAGTTCCAGCCGCTGAAGGCAAAGGAGGCATGAAGGAAAGCCAGGGCAATCTGCCCTATTGACGGGGCTTTATTAAACGTGAACGCCACCTGTGGGGTCAGGCTCTCATAGTTACCTGAGCAGACAGGAACAAACTGTTAATCTGACATGTAACAAACAGCTGTGAAGAGAGATGACATTTCAAATGATGGAAAGGATTACTATATATTGACAGACTGATATATCGGTATAACATAGTTTGCCTTGTCAAAAGTCTTGTCAATATATTTCCCAGGGGGTGTATATTTATTTTTAATTTCATAATTATTCAACACCACTTTGTAGAGATCTGGTTTCATTTTGAGAATGTTTTTTTTTAAAGGGGTTAAAGGGGTGATGGGGTCATGGCATGACATTAAAGGGGTCCTGACATGAGAAATCAAATTTGCCTTGATCTTTTGATCTATGAGAGGTCTTTGTACCATTAAAACACCCTGCAAGTTGCTTAAACTTTAAGCAAGCTTAAAACGTCCTCCTCATTATAAGCAAAGCATTTATTTAATCAAGCTCCAAAAACAGCTCGTTTTGATATTCGGTGATCTGTGATGTCACACGGGCAAAAACATTTGCATATGACTGCCTCCAAAGAAAGACATCGACCAATAGTTTTACATCATCGCACCACAGGCCCCACCCACAGACATTCAGTCACTTAACGGCTGACATTTGTCTACACTGGATGTGAGCGTCACATCGCATCAAAAGCACATAGAAGCCATTATAATGACTGACGCTGTCTACGCTGGATACAGTATACAGATGTGTGTTCAGTTTCCACGCGCTTGAGTCTTTCACCAACAGGGCAAATGGAAGCGTAAAAGGAACGCTTTGACACGTCCTGTTTTAAAGCTCATTTGCGTCTCTGTACAGACTCCAGAAGGATAATCCAGCATCGGAAACAAGTAGATTGTTTATTTTTAATGGCATCTTGGATTATGTCCGAGGATTATGTGTTTGTTCTGAGAATTTGACAGCAGATTGTTTTGTAATCGAGGCACGGTGTAATGGAGAGTTTACAAAGAAACTTTAGTTGAAGGATGAAGCTGCCAACTGTATTGGATCTGACAGCAGCTGCATCAAACCCTAAGTACATGATTTCATAATGCTTTTCCTGTAAATTACACTTTTATGTGGTTACAGGCTTGTACTAATAGTGGATAAAAGCACGATGACAGCATAAAACATATCCATAATTAAACTCAACTATACCTGTTCTATCTCCATGCAGCATATATTCTCTGGCTCTGTAGGCATTATTGTCCGACTCCGGGTCGAAATGAACACTGCTGACAGTTTCTGACATTTTCAATGCGTGAGATTGTCCTGTTTTGTTTTTGCTCACTCCCAAAAAGTGCCAATTTTAACTGTTTGAGCTAAAACTTCACATACACACTCTGGGGATATTAGAGACTTATTTTTTATCTCTTAAAAAGGGGCATAATAGGCCTCCATTAAAGGAACAGCCCCTTAAAAACAGATACATTTTTTTGGGGGCAAATTAACATAATTATAAGTGAACCTCAGGGAATATTAAAATAATGAAAAAATCCATGTCATGACCCCTTTAATGTTTTAGGGATGTTTTTCTTTTTTCAAGTATATTAAATAATTATATATATACATTTTTAGAATTATTGACACCATATTAACATATAGCTCTTTAGATATCCATGTGACATTCTCACCTCCAAAGATCTGCACCAAACCGACAGTAATGATGAGCCCAAGAGCTAGAAGCTTTCCTACTGTAAATGCGTCCTGGATCCGTGTGGCCAAACGCACGCTGTAGCAGTTCACCCATGTCAAAAACACTACAAATATTCACACAGAGACAACATAAACATTTCAATAATGTTTTGATTGATTCACTTAATGTGTGACTTCATATACAATGTTTAAAGTTTTCATGTTAAATGTAAAATCAGAAAAGACTGATTTAGGATTAGCTTGTGGTACTTGACCAAAATGTGGGAATGCTCGAGGGGAAGTTGGACTTCTATGGGCTCATCCATCAGTGTCACCGCTTACAGACTCTTTCATAATCACTTTCCCTCTACCAAGAGAAGTTTAAGCCCAATTGAAACAAATTACTTTCAATGAGAACAAAAAGGGGAGCAAAGAGCAGGTCTGTGAGGAGATGAAATGCCTTGCGTTTTCCTGCCGCTGTCTTGCTCTTGCTGTTTTGGTTTGAGCATGACTTATTAAAGCCACACAACAGGCTTTAATAAAGAGAGCTAATGCAGCAATCACATGCTATAGACCCATGCCACCTCCAACACTGATCAGTCAAGTGCTTTTGGCACAAATCCAGGGTTGTAACTGTAACTGGGTCATTCCAAAGACTTTAGATTAGTGGTTCTCAACCAGGGGAGAACCACTAAGCACATGGTTCTCAACCATGTGCTTTCCTGGTCACTTTATTAGCTACACCTTGCTAGTAGTGTGTTGGGCCCCCCTTTGCCTTCAGAACTGCCTTAATTATTTGTGGCAAAGATTCAACAAGGTGCTGGAAACAATCCTCAGAGATTTTGGTCCATATTATCATGATAGAATCACGTAGTTGCTGCAGATTTGTCGGATCTGAACACCCATGATGCGAATCTCTCGTTCCAGCACATCCCAAAGCTGCTCAATTGGATTAAGATCTGGTCACTGTGGAGGCCATTTGAGTTTAGTGAACATATTTTTATGTTCAAGAAACCAGTTTGGGATGATTTGAGCTTCATGACATGTGCGTTATCCAGTTGGAAGTAGCCATCAGAAGTCATGTGTACACAGTGGTCATAAAGGGATGGAAATGCTCAGGTAGGCTGTGGCATTTAAACAATGCTCAATTGGTACTAAAGGGCTCAATGTGTGCCAAGAAAATAACCTACACGCCATTATACCACCAGCAGCCAGAACCGTTGGCAAGGTAGGATGGATCCATGCTTCTGAATGGTGAAATCGAGACTCATCAAACCAGGCAACGTTTTTCCAAAAAAAATTTTTTCGGTTGAACAGAAAAACACTTCACGAAATTCTGCTTCAAATCGAGGTTAAATTCTGGTGAACCCTCAGGTTAAAGGATTAGTTCACTTTTAAAAAAAACTTTTGCTAATAATTTACTCACCCCCATGTCATCCAAGATGTCCATGTCTTTCTTTCTTCAGTCGAAAAGAAATTAATGTTTTTGATGAAAACATTACAGGATTTTTCTCCATATAATGCACTTTGCTGGGCACTAAACGGTTCAAGGTCTAAATGACCGTTTCAGTTCAGCTTCAAAGGGCTTTAAACGATACCAGATGATGAATAAGGGTCTTATCTAGCGAAACGATCTGTCATTTCAAAAATAAATAAAAAAGTTAAAGTGTTATAGGCACAAATGCTCGCCTTGCGAACTCTCCTGTTCGAACTCGTTCATCAAAATGAACGAATCTTTTTTCGAGTCATTGACTCGTTCATCAAAATGAACGAATCTTTTTTCGAGTCATTGACTCGTTCATCAAAATGAACGAATCTTTTTTCGAGCGAAAAAAGATTTGTTCATTTTGATGAACGAGTTCGAACAGGAGAGTTCGCAAGGCGAGCATTTGTGCCTATAAAACTTTAACTTTTTTATTTATTTTTGAAATGAGCGATCGTTTCGCTAGATAAGACCCTTATTCATCATCTGGTATCGTTTAAAGCCCTTTGAAGCTGCACTGAAACGGTCATTTAGACCTTGAACCGTTTGGCTACCATTGAAGTCCATTATATGGAGAAAAATCCTGGAATGTTTTCATCAAAAACATTAATTTCTTTTCGACTGAAGAAAGAAAGACATGGACATCTTGGATGACATGGGGGTGAGTAAATTATCAGCAAAAGTTTTTTAAAAAGTGAACTAATCCTTTAACCAAAGCCATTTAAAAACTTAGACTTTTAGCACAATTATATAAACTCCGTCGTCAACAGCAGACTGTTTCAAGAAATTAATCGAATAAATAAATAAAGAAGCAAGCACTCACATATGCAGATGGTGGACAGCATGCGTGTGGCTATGTATGGAGGAATGCAATGTGGAAAAACTGGCTGAAGCACATAGTTGGAGAAAGTAAGCGCTATGACTGCCAATGTGGTGGGATACATGATCAATACTGCACTCCATAATAGCAGAAACCTAGAGACCAACACAACACATTCAGGATATGTGACGGACATTTGATTTTCATTCATTTTTCAAAAGATCACATATGAACCTGTCATACCCCATGAGACCGCCAAAAATCTCTGTGACGTATGAATAGTCTCCCCCAGATTTGGGGATGGTGACCCCTAGCTCAGCATAGCAAAGGGAACCCAGAGCAGCTACGCCTCCTCCTAACACCCACACCACCAGCGCCAACCCAACGGATCCGGAATGCTCCAGAACACCCTTAGGAGAGATGAAGATTCCTGAGCCAATAATGTTACCTGAGAAAACAAACAAATCACATGTAATTGTTATTTCCTATCTACATTTGTCCTGAACACAACAGCCCTAGTCATTCATAATGCAAACCTGTTGTCTTTTCTTGGTCTGAATCTTTAACACCTTTATATTAACATTTGCTCTTGGGTAAACGAGTGAACTCAATGAAATCACACTGGTCTCTTTGATATACCATTTGATTAATTATTTTCTATTTACTTCCTATTCATAAGAGAATCCTGAAAAAAAAAAATCATGGCAAGCAAAGTCCCTTTCATGCCTATAGCAACCGGAGCTTCTAACGCAGCTTTACCGATTAGCGACTGGTTCTTTCATTTAGAAGGACGGGACTTATTTCACCATATTGCGCATTTCAATTTCTCCCATTAATAAGTAATATGAGTGTACTGTCTTTGTTTATCTAAAGTCTTGCACCATGGTGTCTAGATTTAACAGGGATACTAATAAGAATCATTTTTATAATTGAGCATCAATAATAATTGATAATAAATGAGGACCAAATCACCACTGAAGGTGTATATATATATATATATATATATACACACACACACACAACGATGCGTATTACCAACAATACTGGTTGACCAGCTACCAGCTATAAGCTGACCCTGACACGCTGAGAGGAGAAACCAAGATCTACCACTTAGCCAAAGGGGTAGGAGTACATAAGTTGTACTTCTTCCTACTCCTTTTCGAGCATGTAATAGAAGTATGTTAACACAGGAAAGAAGGGTACTTTGTTTGCTGCTCATCTGTTGTTTTTAAACATTGTTTTATTTGTTTTATATACTTTCTCTTCCATGTTCGAAATAAAGATTTCAATTCAATTCAAAAGCACGCCATCAATCAACACAGGATATTGGCCAAATCAAATGCATCAAGGAAGATCATCAACAGGTCCTCCAAAACCCACCCGCCACTCTACGATGCTGGAGCGAATACTTCTCGGGGATCTGCAACCACCAGTTGCCCACCCGCCGATTCAAAGTGCCAAACCCATCCTTGGCCCCACCCCTGCCATCACCAGTGCAGAGGATGAAAAATGGGAAAGCGATGGGCCCTGACGACATCCCAGTGTAAGCCTGGAAGTTTCCACTGGGATGTCCACTGGGGCATCACCATCCTCACTGATTTGTTTAATCGAATTGCCACTTATGATGAGGCCCTATGCGCTTGGCTGACCAGCACCACTGTGACCATCTGGAAGGGCAAAGGTGACGAGGCCAAATGCCCCAATTACCACCGAATCTGCCTCCTATGCCACGCAATGAAGATCTTTGAACGAGTTATCAAAGGCCGGCTTCGGAAAACAGCCTCCATTTTGCCAAACCAATGCGGCTTCGTCCATGGATGCGGCACCACAGATGCAATCCATATCGCTCCTGGAGAGGCACTGTGAGAAAAAAAAACCTGTACACATGGTGTTCCTTGACCTGGAGAAGGCTTTTGACAGAGTGCCCCAAGGCCTCATCTGGCACGCCCCTCGGGCTCACGGTGTCCCTGAAGCCAACGTGACTTGGATTAAGCCACTCTACACCAGCGTCACCAGACCCGTCCACTGCCCTGTTGGAACACTGCTGCCCTTACCAATTACAGTTGGTGTCCACCAAGGCTCGCCTCTCTCACCGCTCCTGTTTGTCCTGTGTTTGGACCCAATCACCAAGGACTTGCAAGTGCCTCATTCACCATGGACACTCTATGCCGTCGACGTCTTCCTCACCAGCGATATGCGAGGATGTGCAACGGCTAACTCAAAGGTGGAAGACAAGACAGAGTACCTGGGACGTGGCCCCCAAAACGACATCAGCGTCAATGGCTAAGAACTGAAGAAGGGACGAATACCTCGGATCCGTCATCACCAGTGACGGCAGCACCCTCTCTGACGCTAAAGCACGGGTTAACGTGGCATGGATGAAATGGCGCCAGCTCACTGGATAACACAGTCTCATCCCAAGAAGTCATATAACTGACGTCTTGGGACGTCTTTTGACCATACGTCAATATCCGCCTTTTTAGGCTACCCTTAAACGTCGGTTTATGACGATCCTGGGACGACATACAACTGACGCTTTACCTTACCTTTAACGTCAGTTAGGTGACGGGGTAGGTTTAGGGGTAGGTTTAGGTCTGGGGTAGAGTTAGGATCCGATAACGTCATCTAACCGACGTTTAAGGGTACCCTAAAAAGGTGGATATTGACGTATGGTCAAAAGACGTCCCAAGACGTCAGTTATATGACGTCTTGGGATGAGACTGCGCTGCACTGGAATTCTCTATGACCGCCGGATGCCCAACTAGCCTGGCTCCGCCCTCCTACGTACTTCAGCTCAATTTTCATTTTTCTTCAGTACTACGTCTGGGTTTGTGATGAATTCTTTGTGATGAATTATTTTTCTCCGGTCAATTTTTTACAGGTCCAATCAGCGAACAGAGGGAGTGGCTGACAACGATGACTTTGATGTTGTGTGCTAGTTTGAGTCTATGGTTTGAGTCGTCATATGTCACAACCAAACGGCAGCGATTGGTTATAGCAGATCCAGAGTGGCTCTAAGCAGATCCAATAGTTTTAAACTTTAACAGAGTACCCGCCTACAAGGAAGTCAACGCTTGTCAATGGAGCGAGGCCAGACTCTCTGTACAAATGAAATGTAAGAGAGTCTGGTGGGACCAGGCTAATGCCCAACCACCTCAAGGCCAAGATTTATAAGACCTCCCCTGTGGCGTTTTATGGCACAGAGTGCTGGCCAGCATCGGAGGAACACAAACAAGCCCATAACATCATGGAGATGTGAATGTGTACTGGCTTAGGGCTAAAACGATTGGACCACATAACAGACAAAGATGTCAGCTGGGTGTTGTCCCAAATTAGGACTAAGTGTGACTATGGTGGTACGGAGACATCGTACGGAGCAACAAGGATTTAGGGGCCAGAAGTCCCCAAGGATGCCGATCACGAGGACAACCAAAGATGAGGTGGCTCGATCGGCTGAAGGAAGACATGAAGATCGTCAATGCTGCCAGAAGGACGCCCTTGACCGTGCCAAAGGAAGAAAGCATTGCAAAAAAAGCAGACCCCGCAGACGATTAGGAGTAACACTAGGATGGAGAAAATGGGTAGCAAATTTAAACTGCTCAGGTAATGTTAATGGTACGACCTATTTCAGGGGTGGATAACATTATTATTTAAAATCGGTCAGAGCAAGAAATGTATCTTCATATTTACAGGTAAAGCTTAATTTTGCATGAAGACTTTCTATGACAATCCCCCACTACTTTTTATGCACAATAACATGCCTCCCAAAAGAGGTCAACATGTTTTTTTTTCCCCCAGTGGGAAGGTCCCCCTGCCAATAACGGTGGAAAGAAATGCTCAACAACTTTTTGGTAAACAAATGTTTAGATGTGTTATTTTACAAAAATAAACCCAGTCTGAGAAATATTCACTGGAGTAAAGACTAGCTCCAGCTGCCCTTTCATTACTGCATGCCTCCCAGTAATCCCAGTAAAAAAACAAAAACAAAAAAAACACAAGATTATGTAACTAAACTGATATTCCCCCCCTTTTTTATTATAGCATTAAATTTGAAGTAGAACCCAATAATGTTCAAAATCAATCAAAAATGCTTGCCTAGTCAACATCAGCACTAACCCTGCTGTAGTACCTGAGAGAGTTTTCATGGGAAGACAATGATCAGCCCCCCTTCACCGACCCGCTTCCTGGCAGCTCTTCTCTCAAGCACTCGTACAACGACATTACGTAACAGCAGGCATAAATAATTTACTGCTGCCCGTCAAAGCCCCGGATACCATCAGAAGCGGAGGGAACAATCTTTAGCTTTCATTCGGCGGCCCCTTTTAAGAGGACAAACACCTCTAAGAGGCCTACATATGGTGGATGTTGGTTTTAGACTCAAGTAAAAGAATGGTTTAAAAGATCTGCAAACTTTAAATGATTGTTGTTTAACACTCATTAATTGTTGAGATTCAATGATTATGTAGTTTTCTGAGATTTTTTTCATTTAAAAAAAGAATGAAACAAACAACCAAGTCAGATATATAACTACATTAGTAACCTTACAATGTTCTTGAGTGATACTAGTAAATCACAAAACAAAAACAGATTCAATATTTAATATACTTTAAAATGTATCATGCAATACAGGATAATATAACGATCACAGCTAACGTTACTGTTATTACATAGTTATGTAATTATTAATAAATCAATAAATAGCTATTAAATGTATAATACATTAAAATAATACTATATAAAATAATAATTAATTAAGCTACAGGTAAATCAATAAATCACAAATAGTTAATCTGATTATATGGTAATCTATCTAACATGCATTTAAATAGTCTATATTGTGTTCTAGTGTGAATAAAAGCCAAATATAACAGTCCACGATTAACAAGATGGCGAATATCTTGTCTTTATTAGTCTCAATACATTTACATGTTAAGAGGAGTGAACCATCATCAAAAAGAAAACAAGTTGTAAACTTTCCTTACCAATGATGATCGCGCACGCGCTCAGAAGTCCAATCTCCTTCTTGAGTGTCACGCGCTCAGGGATGCTGGAGTCTCGTTTAAGCTCGCTATCTTTCATGATGCTCCTCTGAGCCTCCGTCCTTTTCCTCTCTACTCCATCCATTTCAGTGAGCGCACGAACAGAGAGCTGGGCTTCCTCTCTTCAACTCGCTCCAGAGGACGGAGGGACTGAGAGACCGAGGGACGGTGTAAAGGCCGCGCAGGCGCCGCATCGCGCGCTGTCCGGGCAGAATGTTAACGAGCGCGCGGCATGACTGATTCACACACGCTGATGCAAAGACATGTTCTGACATTTTACAAAACCATCATTACTATATGATATTTGCACTTACTTAAAAAAGAAAACACACAAAGAATGGGCTAATTTATATACAATTTTATTTTATTTTTTTTTCTCTCAAAAGGGCACCAGCAATTACTCAAACAGATATAACCTATAGGCCTCCATAGTTTATGGCATGTTTACTAAAGAACACCAGCTGAAAGGAGAGTGGTACAGGGTGATCCCCACATCCACAGAGGTTTCCTCAAGCTCCCATTCATCCTGAAAAGAACCCCAGTGTGGAATTTAAGAAGTCAAGTCGTGAATTTGTGGCTGCAGCTTTTCTCTGCATGCAGAATAAAGGAGGCCAGTTTTCAGCTGATCTCCTAAGGAAAGCCGTTGAGAGTGAGCTGCTTTGTAGTCCAGCAGGAAGGCTGAAACTCTGCCAGCAGTGTGCGACGCTTAACAGAGGAAGTCGAGCAGAAAACCAATATATCACAGGAGCAACAGAGAGGAGAGGTGGACACAGGGAGAAGATGGACTGTGGAGAGCAGACTATATGCCTGCACTCGAACCAGGAGGAAATGCATGTCTCAATTCAATTCAAATTGGCCAAGTATTTAAGTCCTACATGATTTGTTGTTGTTGTTGTTGTAATTTCATACTGAAGCAAGGAAATCTGACGTTTATGAGTTCAAATGGTCAACGACACATTTGTCAGTGCCAGTTACTGACCTAAATATATGGCAGAATCTTAATTGAATATATTTTTCTTTCTTTTTTGTTGCACAAACTTTAGTTTCTCAAATCTTTTTTTTTTTTTTTTGGATTCTGTTCATTTTTAAAAAATAAATTGATTCAACACCATTACCATTACATATTTTGATTCAACTTCCTATCATGCTTTGCACAGGGCTGAATTGGGAGAGTAAATGTTGAAATAAAGTGTTATTTTATGCTTTTTTTTTAGCAAGATGAGACTTGGAGAGACTTTTGCTATTTGAACGTTTCTGTTATGTCAGTGTTTTTAGGGGTGAAGTGTTGATCTTGGTTTAAGGACCTGCTAACAAGAATTCAAATGGCTTTAAAAATAAAGCAATAACTATATCGATCAGGATGAAACCAGTATCAGACTGATACAATCAAACCAGAAACCAGACTGCCAACACCTAACATCACATAAAGAAAATGTATATTTAGTTTGTTGCTATGTAAATCACAGGACTAAACAATAAGCATTATTTGAATAATTCAATTAAAGCAGTTAATTCGAGTTAAATTAACATAATTGATTCTAGTTAGTTGTACATGGTTGATTCAATTTGGTTTTACTTGTTTCAATCACATGGAAACAGTCTCAGCCAATGAGCAATTTTCTTTTTCTTTTTTTTTTGCCAGAGCCCTTTCATGAGATCTCTCATACCTTTTACGAACTTGCATATGTGTATCACATCCTGTGAACTGGTCAGTAGCGTACGAGGGGAAAAAAAGCTCTTCTGACATTTGCCAGCTTTCCTTTCAGGCATGGCATTAAGGCTAAAACATCAACTCAGGGTAGCTCCAGTATGGGGTTAGAATTGTTGCATTATTCCAAATAAACAAGATTGAGATTGACAAATAAAATTGTCAAATAAATAGATTATAGGATCCACAAATAAATGTAGGGTTTCACAATAATTTTTAATGATTTATGAGGATTAAATATTACAAATGTGTTTTATGTCACAAACACAACGCATCTGTGGATCTGTGGGTGTTTTAATCACACAAACACCACTTCAGCTCAGTTTGAATGAAGCGCCCATAGAATAGAGTTCCTTTCAGGGGTGCAAAATTATTCTTCCCTCCCCCCGAGTGTAAAGCAAAAAGATGATTGGCTGGAGCGAGAATGTGCTATGATTGGTCAGGCCAATGAGGCTGTTATCTGATTGGCTTGAGTAAACAGTGGGTGGAGTCCACTTATTTGTGGATTTGTCTGCCTAGAAGTGTAGTGATACACAAATACACAAATGAATGCAGGCAGAGTTGTGTTTGTGACATAAAACACAATTGTAAATATTTTTTTTTTTTGCAAATCTCTTTTTATTTATATGTGAATTTTATCAATCTTTTCTGAAACTCTTTACATTTATTTATGGATCCTAATCTATTTATTTGTGAATTTGATAATTTTTTTTGTGAATCTCAATCCATTTATTTGGAATAATGCAGGGGTCCAGACTGCGACCAAATAGTCGTATTTTGCAACCTTTTTATCTGCCGGCGCTACTACATTTAGTTAGAGATCGCACTGATGCCACCATGCCACCGCTATTGAAGAACGCCCTCCACGTGAACCGGTGTCTGACAAACTATCCAATCACAGCAATCGATATTGACCGGCGACAGCCTATGACGTCACTACTAGTGCGACCCGGAAGTATAAAAGTATAAAAATTCAACTCATCAGCTCATTAACCCATGTGATTATGAGCTGATGAGTTGAATCAGGTGTGTTTGATTAGGGAGACAGAGAAAACGTGCAGTGTTGGTGGGTCGCCAGGACAGGTTTGGGAACCACTGGCCTAGAGAACATGTCATCCACTTCCGTCTGCAGGGACTGTTCAGCAGGCATACCCGAGGCATGGCTAACGACGCAGTGTCTCGTTCCCTGTTCTCAGTGCCAATTATGGCTCGTGACAAAAACGTCAGAACTGGCAGTTTCAACCTGAGATGCCAAGAACACACTCCCCCTTCGGGTCACATACAGGCTGTCAGTGACATTATTCTCTACGGTCACTGCCCAAGCTATAAGCCTCAAAGTGGCCTCGGAACAACAGAAGGCCTACCTAGGCCGCTCAAAGACTTAGAACCAACAGCTTCCATGGAAGGGTTCATTTAAGGGAATATGGACAGGGGGTCCGAAAGAAGTCCCGTCCAGTCTCTTTCTGAGGGGAACATAAAGTCAACCCCACATGCCACCAGGAAGGCTGACCTGGTCAAATTTACTGACCTAGTCTTGCCAACAACCTGTCTGTTTCTTGAACATAGTCTCTCACAATATCCAATAGGGAAAAACAATTGCAATTAATAGCAGTAGTTCACTCACAAAGCGGATCATATATGGGCATCCTGGAGCGTAGAACTCAGCATAGTGCTTGTTAACCCTTGCAAACGAGGGGAGTAACTCTACTCGATCCTGGATCTACACAGTGCTTCAAAGCCCTGTGGAGGCTGGGCACTCCAAAGGGACCCTAATGAGGGGAGCGCCTCCAGCTCTAGGGCTGATCTAACAGGGAGGCCTCATGAGAGTCATTCGACCTTCCGACCAGACTTATGGAGATCCTCAGATAGATTCTGGAACACTATGCTCCAGTGTTAATTTTGGCAGCAAATTCTGATTTAGTCTTAGTCTTAGTCTTTTGAATAACACACCATTTAGTTTTAGTCATATTTTAGTCATCTGAAATCTTTTAGTCTTAGTCTAGTCTTAGTCGACTAAATATAATAAGAGTTTTAGTCTTAGTCTAGTTTTTGTAGACCAAATTTAGTCGACTAAATCTACAGTGGACTTAGTTGACTTGACTAAATGTTTCTCCAAAATTTCCAGTCATTGGAAGTATCCATCAGTCTGTTATGGAATGGTATTAAGATTTGAATATGCAATACAGACACAGATTTAACAGTTGTAATACAAAACATGTATTTTATTCTTAATGTCAAAAACACTCACCGTGGCTTTTTCACAAAAGATAATCTCACATAAAATAAGCATACAGCCTGCTCTCCCAGAAAAATATACTTGCTCCCTGAAAAAGATATGCATTCTCCCTGAATGATATGCAATGCATATGACATTCTTTCACGATGAAGTACAATACTATTGAAATATAGTAACTCTGAACTGTGCAAAATCAAAAACTTTAAGAAAAATAAAGAGCAATTCTTAAAAATAATAAAACTATTGTTTGTAATGCCATTGCACAAGGTATCTAAATACAGATAATTCACTACTGTAAATGTTCACGTACCTCAAGAGAAGTTAAATAACTAGGCTACAATGCCTTACAATGCATTGCTACTCTGTGCAAAATCAACAAGATTTGAACAGAACAGATTAGTGCAATTCTCAAATGTAGAATAAAAGATGTATTGGCTGTAATGCCATTGCACACAAAATAAAATATTCTTCTGTTAATAATTAAAAGTAGTATCAATGAGCTCAACTCAAGACAAGTGAATTACATGCTAAGCTGTGATTTCATTATTGCATGGAACAACAAAATCAGTAACTTTCAAGTTGTGCATATACTACTACAGGAAATGCTGTAAATAGCAGTGAATACAAGTTCTATTTGTTTCTGTTCATTTTAAGGAAAGCACTTCGCTCCAATGTGACCCTTCCTCTGTTGCGCCGTCCTCTTGTGAGGTCACCTGTGATGCTGAATACCCTCTCTGCAAAAGCTTGAGAAGCTGGTATAGCCAACAAGTCTAATGCGAAAGGTTTTAAACTGTGATAAAAACTGTCACTCTTTTCCAGCCAGAAGTCCGTCCCTGTGTCCTCAGTGATGGGATGTGAAAGTTCTTCCTTGTACTTGATAATCTGCTGCCTGATGCTGGTTGTGGAGGTTTTCTGTTTAGGCCTTGTGGTGCGGCATTTTGAGAGGAACCTAAACACCGGCTGCTTTGAGGATGGTGCTGCTTCCTCAATAACCTCTTCTTCTGCATCATCTTCAGACTGGTCCTCCTGGAAAGTGCATTTGACCACATAGTCTTCTGCCTGTTTCAGCAGTTCCTGGATATTTCCATCAGCCACATCAACATTAACAAGGATTTCACAGACAGTTGGGTTGACAAAGCATGCAGCTGCTGCAAGTGCTGAGAACTTTTCATCAGTTGAATCCAAGAGGCAAGCAAAACGCTGGTTCAGATTTGATCTCATTTTCTCTGCAAGAGTGGCGAGGTCTCTGTACCGAGTGTTCTGTGCAAAGTCAGTTAGGTGGCTCAGCAGATCAAAGAGGGCAGGAACCACTAGAGACATAGATGTGGTGTCACTCTGGAGGGTTTTAGTGTGTTCCGC